TAACACTTCTTCCAGGCCTCTCCGTCATGAAAACATGACATCAACCACCTCTCAGGGAAAAGCTGACATCTTTGCAGCCTCCCTGGGAGCCACAATGACTTGTCCCCCCTCTGCTCTCCCCCCAGAAGCCTCAGAAGAGGAACTACAGCTTGATGCAATAATAAACTCTTACTCTCCCTTAAAGGTAAATGAGATGGAACCACCCCATGAGCTATTAGGCCCGATAACTATTGATGAAATAATTAAAACCATTCTCCCTCTGGCTAACAAAGCCCCAGGACCCGATAAGATTTACAACAAATCCCTCCAGAAAGGTACATTTAAGCTGTATGAATTACTTGCACAACTTTACAATTCTTGCTTAACATATAAATATTTTCCCTCAAACTGGAAGTCGGCTCTAGTGACAATGATCCCAAAGCCGGAAAAAGATTTAACTAAACCCTCTTCTTACCGGCCCATTAGCCTCCTGAGTGTCCTGGGGAAAACTCTTGAGAGAATAATTACAGATAGGCTAGCCTCCTTCCTAGAAAGTAATGGCATCCTCCACCCAGCACAGGCTGGCTTCCGGCGCAACATGTGCACTTCGGACCAGCTTGTCCGTCTGCAAAATGACATTCTGAATGCCGGCAACAGTAACTATCCCCTCCTAGCACTTTTCTTTGATGTTGAAAAGGCATTTGACAGAGTCTGGCACAGGGGACTACTCTATAAACTTAGATATAACTATAAACTTCCCCTAGACCTGGTTGCACTAGTGGAATCATATCTCACTGACCGCACCCTAAGAGTAAGAACAGAAGATGCAACCTCTGAATCATTTTCAATTTCTGCAGGAGTCCCCCAAGGTTCAGTTCTTGACTTCCCCTAGACCTGGTTGCACTTGTGGAATCATATCTCACTGACCGCACCCTAAGAGTAAGAACAGAAGATGCAACCTCTGAATCATTTTCAATTTCTGCAGGAGTCCCCCAAGGTTCAGTTCTTGCCCCCTTCCTTTTCCTCCTGTACGTAAATGATCTACCACTCTGTCTCCCACAAGGGGTTAACATCTCCCAATTTGCAGACGACACGGCAATCTGGATCCGAAGTAACTTAAAAACAAGGCTGGGCACAATCCCATCCCTAGCCCAGGAGGCCCTGGATTGCATTCACAAGTATAGTTCTAAATGGAGAATTTCAATGAACCCCACCAAGTCAACTGCCCTCCTATTTGCATTCAATAAGCTTGATCCCCCCAACCTAACACTTGGTGGCAAAACCATACCCTACTCCCCACATGTTAAATTTCTTGGTCTCACATTTCAAAGTAACTTCTATTGGACCAACCACATTGCAAACCTTAGAAGTAAAGCTAGGCGTAAACTTAATTGCCTAAAGATAATAAGTGGGACCAACCGTTGCAATCCAGGAACAGTACTGCATCTTTATAAGACCTTCATCAGGCCAGTACTCACGTACGGCCATGCAGCCTGGGCAAACTGTTCTGACTCTGCTTTTTTAAGATTACAGACAGTTGAAACAGCAGCCATCAGGTACGCACTAAGGCTCCCAGGCTATGTCTCTAAAAAGTACCTATACCAACAATCCAAAATAGAGCCACTCCCGCAGTATGCCTCCAAACTTGCTCTGAAATATCTTGAAGACACAAAGCGCCCGGATGACATCCACCACATCAGGGCAACTACCAACAGGAAAGTTAAATTTAAAAGGCACAAAAGAGTAAGAACTTATCCTGTATTCAATTTGATCCGCAGAACCGAGGATGGGCAGGGCCCCCCCATCATCCCCAACCAGCAAAACCCCTAGCCTACATCCATTGAAATTCATGTAGCCCATGTGATCCACATTTACATTTCTTTTTGAACCCCTACAGTGGTGGGGGAACAGTCTGTCCTGTGGCCTCCACTGGAGCAGACCACTGAAGCAACATCTCAACCTCCCAAATGGAAATGAACCCACAGGACCAGGCCCAGAGCTAAGTTCCCACCAAAATCTTATACCTTATGAACAATATCCAATTAACATACTTCCCTTCCTGAGCAAGAAAGTGTTAGCGTGAATGAGTGAATAAATGAAAGTGCGAATGAAATATGGCCTCTTATCAAGACTTATATTCCAGCTGTCCATACCTGGCAAATCCAATTAGTACTAAAATTCTTTCAATGAAATTATTTGTTTAAAATGTACCATATTGATTCCAAAAGTGGATAAATAAAAATAATAATAAAATGAATTTAATAAAAAAAATTTAATAAATAAATATAAAAAACCCCAAAAAAGCATAAAAATTACATAAAACAAAATAAAAATAATAAAATAACCTTCCAAACAATGACCATGCCAACTAATGAAACTTTCACCCCCACAGAGACCCCTGGCCTGACAACACCATCTGGTGGCTGGTCGCGGACCCACTCAATTCTTCCATCTTCTATACAACATCCTGCAGATGAAGACTAATCATCAATTCGATTCATCAAATACTTTACCCCACAGAGACCCCTGGCCTGACAACACCATCTGGTGGCTGGTCGCGGAACCACTCAACTCTTCCATCTTCTATACAACAACTTGCAGATGAAGACTAATCATCAATTCGATTCATCAAATACTTTATATACCCCACTCTGTATATGTCACTATCCTCACTTCATATCCTTTTCTTCTGTAAAGGGCATGCTATGTAATAAAAGGTCATTGAACAAAAACAGTAATATATCAACATGGGATATCCAAATCCTGTATAGGAAAGGACAAACGTAAACAAATATTGCTGAGCCCACGCTTAAATTACTCCTTGAGAACAATTCCATCTGTACATGTATTATTTCTGTGACGTCAAGAGGACGTTGTAGTTTTCTAATTGCTGTCACATTAGAGGCTGCTGTCCGCTGATGTCTGTATTTTGTTTCCTCCCACTATCTATCTGGAGGGTCGAATCGCATGGGTCGGCATTGGGGCCTCCTTATCTATCACGGAAACACCTTGCTCTTCATCCTCCAATGTCGTCGCACGCTTATCTTCTCCACACATTTCAGGCCATTACTCCAAGTTACTGCCGTGGGCTTCACAGAGTCATGTTCTTCATGACTCGGCTTCACAGAGTCATGTTCTTCATGACTCTGTGAAGTCATGTTCTTCATGACTTCACTCGGGGTACTCCCCATGGCGGAGGTACGTCGCGATCGACTCGTAGCTATGGTCAGCCATCACTCCACAGATACGCTTTCTTCTTACGAGAACCACTGAACTGGTGCAACTGTACTCTTTACGCCCGTCCTTTTGTGTTTCAATTCCAGTATCGATAAGTATCTGACAGATCAGGTCAAGGTTTCAGGGAAGTGGTAATCTCCCACCCTGATCCTGGTGGCATGACTGGAAAAGAAATAGTGCTACGAACCTACAGCCCATTGCTAACAGTCTCGAGTCACAGTAGTAATTATTGCGTGACAATAATGGGTCCTGCACACGCGGATTTTACTACGGTTGTGAATAGGCGTACGCCATTTTGATTAATACTAAGGTAGTGGTTTCAACGTACGCAACTTTCACTACGGTAGTGCTTTCTACGGGGTAGTAAGTTTCGCGTCCTATACCGGCGAACCCAAGGCACCTTGCTGGCAGCCAGTAAATGCTCACCAGTTATCTCTCCTTTAAAAGTGTTTTTGCGGTCAAGCAATTCAGCACTCAGGGTGGGGCAGGGTGTGCCTGGCTCATCTCCGAAGTCCAAGATCAAAGAACCAAGTCCAAGTGACTACTCCCGAGTTGCATAAGTTAGAATAATGAAATTTTGACAAAACTTACAGATAATAAGGGAGAGAATTACCCTTAAATTTTTTTAAAATAAAATAGGTGTTCAGACATGACTGTAGGAAGTATTAAAAATTGCTTTCAATTTTTTTTTGCATACTCTGTAACTCTGTAGTTTTCCTCTCCATAGAGCTGCCATTGCGATTCTCTTTACGATGGTGGATTCGTAGGCTTGGAATAATTTCTTTCTCCAAGGATGCTTTGAAGACTGGCTATTGAACCCTTCATAATATAATCTAAATATTTTTATGATGGAGATACTATGTGCCTTTTAACAGGATCCCCGGCAGCACACAACGTTGGGCCAATATTTGCTGCGAGTGTGGGAGCGTGAGCCCACATCGCAGTGAGCTGACCATGTACGCCCCACATCGGCGCTGGGGCTGCAGCCAACATTTGTCATGACTCAGGATGAGACATATATCTCAGTTATTTGAACAAAAGGCTTCCCACAGATTAAGCGAGATGGCGGCTATGGAAACGCTATTACAACAAAAAGCTTCCCACAGTTGATGCGAGATGGCGCCGAGGTAGCCGCTATTTCAGTGGAATCAGGGAGTGACTCATTAATTTAAGACCCCAGTACTTTTCATGCGATACTTGATCCTTTTCCATAGAGAACGTAAGGGAAGACACTCGAATTTCTCAAATAATTTGTTTAAACAGGTTAAGCAGTCCAATGAGACTCCTGTTAATCGTGGAGGAGGCATGGTTCAAATTGGGGCTTCACTCAATAGCGGGAGGATAAAGGTGTATGGTGTCTTCCCATAGCTGAGGCTGCGTTTGGCTCCCCTTCAAGAATAGGTTCGGGTGCGATAGAAGATATGATTAACCGAGTCTTGCCGGACAAGTACTTCCGTAACGTGTGAAGAGCTTATCTTTTCGTTAACTTGCATCAGTCTACGAAGAGTCGTGATGGATACTGAAGAGTTTGTGCGGGGGTACCTTAGAGGCACAGTGAAAGGATATTCTGATAGGAGTTGAGTTTTATTCGCCTCTTCATCGAAATTGATGTTTTGATATGACAGGTCTATCCTGAGCCCGTCAGATCCCATACCCGGGTCAAAGTTCATTCTTTCACGGAGGGAGTTTTGTTTCCAGGTTTTCAGGTCGAGTGATTTTTTTCGATTCCCGGAGTCAGAAGGTATTTTGAAGAGCGCCCGCATAAGAGAGGAAAAACTCAAATTACTTTCTTTTCAGTATATTCTTCTTGTCATGTCCAACGGGTGCGAGGCCCAATGTACAAAATAGCAAGCACTCAATGGAAACATTCTGAAAGAAAGATAACAGGAAGAATGTGGATCACATCAGAAAAGTACTTCCAGCTTATTTCAGAAACTCAGAATTTTGCGGTCTACTGGGAAAGGAAGGGAGGAAAAAAAGAAAACGGAGCGAACAGGATTGGTGTTGAGATCAGGCACTTGAACAGGCCATTAACAAGAATTACAGGTCAGTGGAAGCTGCATCCCCAGTGAATACACTGTCGTCGTCGGAACTCAATTCCGATTCATCATCCCCTTCAGCCTGGACTTCCGATGGAGATGGAGGAAGAATGGATAGTTTCTCTGGAAACTTCTTCGCGTATGCCTAGAACACACGAACCCTCGTTTGTCAATCACTTGTGTCGTCTTCTTGAAAGTGAGGGAATATACAGTACAGGTGTGTGTCGAGATCGTAACTCACCATTGCGGCCGCAAGATGTAGCCGTCTGGATGCTCCTGGTCCCGTCTGGGCTATCAGCGCGGAGAAAAAGCCTTTCTTGTTCTGCAGCAGCTCATACGGTCGCCCGAATTCCTACATATCGAAAGGTTTCATCAATTATTACTTACAACTGTACGGTCGGTCCTCTACTGTTCTATCTGGGAGGTGCGAGATGGATTCACTTGTATTTCTCCGTGGTCAAGAACGAGAACGCTATCGCTGTCAATGATCGTATCCAAACGATGTGCAATCGTCAACACAGTGCAGTCATTGAAACTCTTCCGCAGCGTGTCTTGGATGAGGGCATCTGTCCTAAAGTCAAATAGGGTTGTGAAGACTGGTCTCTACAGCAATGAATGCATTGCAATAAGGGATAATAGTTCTCACTTAGGATCGACGTTGGCTGTGGCTTCATCAAGGACAAGGATTTTGTTCCGTCGAAGGAGGGCCCTAGCAAGACAGACTAGCTGTCTCTGACCCACTGAGAAGTTACTCCCTCCTTCGGAGAGCTTTGTGTCCAGATTCTCCTTCAGTTCCTTCACAGCATCCTTCAGCTGAACCTGATAGCAAGTTAAAATCCAGACTCATATTGAATAATTTTGTTCAGAGACTTTGGGACCTTGAGAATCTATTGTTCATGATTGAACTGACTTGTTCCAAGACTTTCCACAAAGCCTCGTCTGCATGCTCATTGAATGGGTCCAGGTTACGTCTCATCTTTCCCTGAGAAATCAAGCACATCAAAATTCTGAATACCGCCACGAAACTCGTAGCAGCGAATAAATAATGAAATACATGCATGAGGTCTGAACCTGGAAGAGGACGGGATCCTGTGGAATGATGGCGATGCCGCTTCGGACTTCATGGAGACCATAAGCTTTGGTGTCTCTCCCATCCAAGAGGATTCGACCCTCAGGTTCCGTCAGACGGAAGAGGGCGGTTATCAACGAAGATTTCCCTGCTCCTGTTCTCCCTACTATTCCCACCTAAAAACAGGTAGGGTATGGTTGCATTGTATCGTCGTCACGGAGGGATCGAAGATTTCTAAAGACTGGATTCCTCACTTTTTCCTTGGCTGCTATTGTGAATGTGAGATCCTTGAGCACCGGCTTTGAGTCTGGGGCATATCGAAGGGAAACGTGCTCAAATTTCACATGACCTTCCGATGGCCAGCCAGGTGGTGGCTTCTTGTCTGCAAATAAGGATTTGTAAAATTTGACCGCGATGCCAATAAGGTTGGGACAAATGAAGTAGAAAATTGCAACAGCTACCAGGCGGTGATTCGAGGGCGGCTTCTCCTTTCAAATTGGTATATTCCATGATTCTTTCGACTGACGTCATTTGATTCTCCAATTCTGCACTCTGCCTTACTCCCCATTGAAACATGCCCGTCAGCATCATTGCTGAGGATATCGCGAGCCCGACATCTCCACCCAGTGCGTCTGTGGGATTCCAAGACTTCATCATCTCCATCCAATTTTATGCTGTGAATTATGAGAACTCCAAAATACCTTGGCCAATTGCCATAAAACTGTAGGTGATAGCAGCAAGGTAGGCAACGATTAACCAGTCCAACCAAATGCCGAACCATCGGGTACCAGATAAGAATAGGAACCACGAAGAAGTGTGAAGATCCTGTAAGATTGAGAAAATGAAATATTGGAAGTATTTTCTCTGGAAACGGTAACCAAACCAAAACAACTGATTTTCTGTCTCACTTGATGGTTGTCAAACTCCTGCATGAAGATGTTCTCTGTATGCGAGGCTCTGATGGTCGCCAGCCCGTTCAAGGAAGCACTTAGATGGGAGAAGACCGGACTCCGTGCTGACATTGCGATTTTGAGAAAGGGAATTTAGGAAAGAAATTCATTATATTTCCAGTTGGAACTTTTTCCCCTTATCTTAGAAATTTCTCAAATAAAGCTGTACCCTTGAAGCACGTCAAACTAAAGCATCTTTGGCTACTGGAGAACTCAGTATCCGAACAAACGATGCACACTCTCGCCCCCCCCCCCCCACACACACACACACATACACAAACATTTCTTCATACTTCAAGATCCGACAGAGACATCGACATGAATACAACGTACTGACGGACTCCAGCCGCTTCAGATCTCTTGCAGTTTTCAAGTAGAAGCGACGCAGACGACCGAAGGCCACCATGACAATGAACGTACCAATCACAACATAATAATTGACAATCGAGAGCAGGATTGTGATGCCCAGCACTTGTAAGGCCACCTATGATGCATAAATGCTATTCTCAGGCGTAGCGAAATTTTCATAAACACTGGATTGAAAAACATATATCTATTTAGCGGGGCATGCAAGCAAGATAAAAGCATTAGATAGAAAAGGAGCCTTTCGACACATAAAGCGAAAGCATGCAGAGATCAAGCAGGTTCTCATAAGCGTGTGATTTTGTCATTCATACTCACTGACTCCTTCAAGTCGCTTGATGTCTCGTGCCGTGTGCAGGTAAAAACTTCGAAGGGAGCCGAAAATTACGCAGCAGAGGACGGTGGCAATCACTATCCACCAATTCACAATCGATATCATTATCACTATTCCCAAGACCATGAGTAGAATCTGTAGCATTCAGAAGACAAATATTCCGATGGCATTTAACTCAATTTTTTCATTTATTCCTCGAGCGGTTTCAAATGTTCATTAACTTCATACCATGACGACGTCTGCATATATTTGAGGAAGGAGTTCGTCCATATTCCCCATGTCTCTTGAGAAACGGTTCAGAATGCGCCCTTGAATTGTAAAGAGAGACATTCAGTGGACTGCGAAAAAAATTTCTGTTTGATTTGATTTTGAAGTTGATTATTTTGTGAATTTCTACTGCTGGAAGCGCTGAATTTTGAAATAATTTTTATTCCACAGATTCCCCACACAATATTCTATAGAAATACAATAGTCAATAATTGAATCGCTCTCCCTCTGAATCAATAACAGCCAAACATCTCTCTTTCATCGATGCGATCAAATGACTTATGATCAACATGACAATTCGTCGAGATTTTTCGGCTTTCGTTTCTTCACGCGTCGCTTAAAAATAGACCACAAGTTTTCAGTTGGACTGTTTGGTGGCCAGTCGATTGTTTCAGGTACATGCTATTCTAAAAATTGTTTCGCTACCCTACTTGTGTGCTTTGGATCATTGTCTTGCTGAAATCTCCAGGATCGACCAAACCGTCTTCTCGCACCAGAAAGTAGATGTTCTTGAAGAATTTGAGAGTAGTAGGGGCCGTCCATGATTCTTCTGAATGAATGGCGCGATATCTAGCCTTTACTGCTGAAGGCTCCCCACAGCTTCATCTTCTGCCTGTTTTTGGGAATTCTCTTGTGCTCCTTTTGAGCGTTCTTGGATCAACGATTTCTGAACAATTGATAATAGGTTTCATCGGAGAACACCATCCGACTCCAATCCAATTGTTGTCTTTGTGTTGCAGTGCCCATTGTACTTCGTACTACCCTCTCCTTCTGCTTTTGGGTCAGCATTGGCGTCGCTCGCGGTAAAACGCTCTTATAATCGCGTCGAGCAAGGTGGCGCTGCACCGTCCTTCTGGACATTTGCTGGCCTCTGTTCTCTCACAATTTCTTCCGCCGTTGTCTCCTTGTCCCTTCGAATCCACCAACCGATCGCAATACTGTCCTCGGGCGTTATCATACGAGGTCGGCCATTACCACCCCGATGCTCCGCGGTGCTTGACTCTTGGATCTCGGCCATATTATACCGAACAATACGGACGGGGGTTTTCAGCGATAACCCAGATTCCAATAATGTAAGATGACTGATCGGTTCGTCGACGAACGGTTAGCATTCAAATTATGCGCCGCTTTCAACAGACTCAGCAACACTTTTCTAGATTTGTCGTCCCCACCGCTAAACTTAGCCCCTCCTTGACTTTCTAGAAAGTTCTGGAACAATCACTCGAAACTTCGGGAGATGTACTTCTGGAAAATTCGTGTTTAACGTTGTTTGCACTCAACTACACATCTAATTTCATTCAGCTAATGAAAAGAAACGCAACTAATGAAATTTCCAGGCAGTATGGAGCAAGAACCTCCACCCTATATCAAGAGATTAGTGAGATAGAAATATGTGAAGTATGCAGAGTTAGTTGGGCTATATGCATGGAATGTGATATTCCCAACAGCAGAGGACAGAGATAGTGCAATGTCCAGCAAATCAGATAATCTTACTCCAAGGCTGTCAAAAGCCGTGGGGGGCAGCATGTCGTCTAATGCTCCAACGTCCTTACTGAATCTGTTCAGGATCCGACCTACAGTATGTAACGGATCCAATTTTTCTCCATTGTACTTATGTATCCTTGACCCAGTTTCATTGCATTCACTAATTCAAATTCCAATGTCCTCTTGGAAGAAGGAATATGAAGATGGAACTCACCAACTGGATTGTTATCGAAGAAGTTGACCGGGGCTCGGAGTACAGAGTTGAACATGCGAGAATGAAGGTTGACAGAAGATTTCATGCTGATGTAGAAGAACATAACCGTCCTAAGCAAAGACAGGAAAAACAATGCCACCACGATCGCCGCGTAGACGTACATCGGTGCCCAGGGATCCATATTAGGATCACCGAAGATCATCTCTCCTACTGAACCATTGGTTTCGTTTGTAGCTCTCTCCTGAGCATTTGTCCTGAAAGCGAAAAGCAATAAAGATTATGTATTCATGCCCTTGTTGAAGAAAATGAAGACCCAAACTTCGACATGGAGAACAAACCAGTGTGAGAGCCACCAATCAGAGGCGGAGAATACCGCCTGGGTGATGATGTTTGTGAGGATAAGGAGGATGACAGAGAACCACCCAGCACCTGCCCTCATGTAATCCCAGTATATCCTCATTGACACATTCCCGCGAGATCTCGTTTCTTCTGTGAATGCTGGTGTAAATGCCGTGTCTCGCAACTGTTCACGAAATTATGAATTAGCAACGAAGATTCTCAAAATCGTTGGATGAAACAATACAGATACGGGAAGCTTTACTTGAGCGACAGGTCCTTCGTCCATGCCAGACTGAGAATCCAAACTTTGAATGCTTCCAGTGGAGTGGGTTCTCTCTCGTCCCCTAGGCTGCTCTTCCTCATGATGTGGAGAAGTCTCATGTTGAGCCATCAATTTCGTGAAGTCCAAGCCAGATTTTAACAATTCGCCGTAAGTACCACTCGTCGCCACTTTCCCCTGCATTGATAAAACATGCATGTCTCATTGTGCATATAACACATAGAAGCATTTTGGGAAGCCAGGGATGATGAATGTTACGTGTGATAGGACGATGATGATGTCTGCTTTTTGGAGAAACTGAAGTTGATGGGTGACCAATATCCTCGGCTTCTCCTTCAAGTACCCCATGATGCACTTGTCGAATAGGTGTCGTCCAACATGAGCGTCCACTGCTGACAACGGGTCGTCCAAAAGATAAATGTCTGCTTCTTGGTACAATGCTCTATGGGAACGCAAATAGCCGTACTATTTGCCGTTTCCTTTAAAAGGGGTCTTGACAAAAAAGGTATTAAACATTTGTATCCAAACCTGGCTAGAGAAACCCGGGCTTTTTGTCCGCCAGAGAGAGTGATTCCACGGTCCCCTACCAGACTCCGATCCTGATGTTGGAATTGTGCTAGGTCCTTGTGAAGTGCACAAGCGTGGATGACTCGGCGAAAGAGTTTCTCATCATACGGTTTTCCAAAAGTGATATTTTGACGGATAGATCCGGCAAAAACCCAAGGTTCTTGTCCTGTATATCCTAATCGTCCTCTTACCCGGAGTTCGCCACTCTTCAATCGTAGCTCACCCAACACCGCTTGCACTAGTGAACTCTACCAAAATACGAGGTTCAATGGATCCCTGTCATCATCACTGAGAGTTGGGTCTTCTGAATAAAAAAAAAAGAAGAAATATGGCCTACCTTTCCACTGCCAACAGGACCGATGATGGCAACCAGTTGACCTGGTTTCACGGATAGAGAGATGCCATGGAGAACAATGTCGTCCTGACTCCTCGTCCATGACGCTACTGCATTCTTCATCTCGATTCCCAGATTTACATCCTTGGACAAAGTACTTTTGGTTTCTTTGATGTCAGCAACGCTGAGGGAGCCGGGTCCTGGTTCTATGAAGTGGTTTGGCTTTCTCAATTCTTCATGTAGGAGGAAGTCCTGTTTTAAAAGAATTTCTGATTTTCTTTAAATTTGCTATTTGACTTGAAAAAAAAAACGGACTGGTAGGGTATGGAGTTTGATTGACCTGAAGTCGTCTGATGGAGATGACTGTTTCCGCTGCTTGAGCAATCCCAAATGGAAAGAAGAACGTCATGACCAATCGCACGTTGTTGAATAAAGCCACGGCAAGAAATACCTTCGAAAATAAAGTTTTGTTTCCTTTTGTTAGAATGACAATCGCGGAATTTTTCATTTATATTTAGCATTGTTCAGAAAGTACACTGTAAACAAAAATAATTGTTCAGGTTGGAACTCTTCGATAGTTCTAAACCCGTGAAAAGGTTGCAGGTACTGTAGAACCATATGAATTGGTTCCAGCACAGATGTAGAACCTTATGAAACACCATCGCTCTTGTAGAACCTCTGGAACCGCCCATTGGTACGACCATTTCTCGTGCTTTCTCAAAATGGTTTGAAAAGGATCCCTTCAGGGCTTGATACGGAAATTTTTTTTTTTGCCATTCGCTCAGAACTCTTCCCCCCCTCACCGGACTTGGCACTCTCTTTCTGTTACCTTGCCATCCTCGCCAACTTCTTACGCAATCTTCTTATGCCCTGAGGGCTGTCTCCCTTCGTGAAGCCTGGATCGAAGGTGATGCCTGTTTCGATTAGTTACAAATACTCGCTCCTTGCCTGGTCCAATATTCGCCTTGACTTCGGAAGCCCCTCATTCCCCCTACGTTGATTGATTCGACATCAAGTTTTGGACTTGGGTAGATGGAATTCAATACCCCATTTGATTAAGGAATTTTTGTAATTTCTGCTAAGTGATTGTGAAGGAAGACACACCTCATCCCACGTGTGAGGAATATTAAAAACTTCCTGAAAGATGGAATGTGATATGGAAATGTTAATGCACATGTTGAAGAAGTATAGGGAAATTGGACATTGACATCGAATGAATTTCACTTTCAGTTCTTCAGCCTCTACAGTGCCCCTTAGTTTCATTTAAATACATTAAAATTTGCATTTTTCTATGTTACTTTAATTCAGCAAACTCCATGAGCTGACTATGCACCCACCTAATATTTCAGCAATGCCGGAAGGCAACTTTTTCGACTCTTTCTTAAGAGAAAATGCCTGAAAGCACCTTCAAATGAGTGCTGCATTGAGTAATGGTTCTGAGTGGAACCGAGTCAGTCACAAAGGATTTTTTTTAAGTGACATCCTCTGTAAAGGTGGTATATGTAACCTTCGTAGGTGGTTCTTGGGAGAACCATTACTTTTTACAGTGTAGGTTCCCAGGAGGACTTGATGCAACACGCGCGAATAGACTCAATGTTTACCTCGTGCAGGTGACATTTGCCTTACTTTGGCATTCATGGCCATATTGACAGCTACCGTCCATTCGAGGAGCATGGAATGATTCTTTTCTAATGAACTTGATGCATGGAAATATGAATAGGTTCTTGGACTGAGCTCGCCTTGTAGCTCAACAAGAAAAGGTACCAGGGTGCAATTTTCGTGAGCTTTATCACTGAGTTATCTGTTGTGCCATATATGGGCAGTGCGCGTCAGGTGATATGCGGAACTTTGCCATTGACGAAAATACATGTCAACCTCCTCAGATCCATGAAAAAATAACACCCATAGGATTTGTCATGTGTTCTTCCACCCATATCTTAGAAGGTTAATAGCGGTGAAAATGAAAGTGTCACTTTAAGTGCAGCAACGGCGTGCGATTGAAATTTGATGCCGTCTCCGAATAGGTACCACGGAATGCGTAGATATCAATTGTCGTAAGCCCTGTTCCGACTAGTTCAGAGCTGGTGACGACCTCTCTCTCCTGGTGACGGCGTCCGGGAGGTTTTTAGGACAAGCGGTAGAAGAAACAAATGCGATCGTTTGTTCACTGATGAAGGAAGTTTGTAGACTATGAGATGGTTCAGCAACCAGATTTATATGTATTCAGTGATTTCACACGTTCGCAATGTTTTCATCGATTGCTGATGCTGGCAGCCTTCTAAAGCGTGGATCGTCAACTTTTCACTTTCTCCATCGGAAAAACGCTTACGCAACTCTCCATTCCACACACTCCATGATGCTTTATCCAAGTCAATCACAAATTTCAATCGCACAGTTTCCGCATTTCTATTGACACATTCATTTCCACCGCTAATAAAATATGCTCGTCCGACGATGACAGTGCTCTACGTATATCCTGAAGATGCGGCGCTCAAATATGTCTCAAGAACTATGGATAGGTTTCCGAAAAAGTGTGCCAAATTGCTCACAAAGACATTCTACCGTTCAATCATTCGATGGACAGTTCGCTAACTTTTTTATATCCCCGTACATACGACTGCATAGCTAACGCGAAGATTTTTGCAATGAGGTAGTGTTGACTTGTTGCTCTATGGAGGCTATTCGGAAATCTTGGCTTGAAGAGTGGATAGGTTGACCTTAGCATTTAACATAGAAGTTGACCTTAGCATTTAACACATTGCCCCTCAGCGCTTCTACGATCGGGCTATTTACAGAATAACTGCAGGTCACAGCTCAACGATTGTTATTTCCCTCTTATGAAACGGATCATCGGAACGGGATTTCATTATCCCAATATCTAGGCCTAATACGAGATTAGTTCAGAGACAATTAGAGAGGCAATTCCAGATGAGATACCTTGGCAGCTGTGAGCTCATTGCCGAGCGCCAAATAGACGATGAAATTGACGAGGAGAATGACTTTCGACGAGGAATAGAAAAGGCTCATGTTAATGCCCCGGAGATAGGAAGTCCTTGTGATCACATGAACCTCCTTCCTGTTACAGGAAGAAATCAGCTTTTTCTTCTGAATAAAAGTCTGCTATATAGTGGATAAGAAGGGAACATACTCTCTCGAATCATCGACCATTTTGGCGAAAGGCTTCTCCCACGCGTACATCTTGATCACTCTCATCGCATCCAAGATTTCGCTCATGAGTCGGACCCTCTCGTCTGTTTTCTTGGCAGTCATCAAGCGGAGACGAGAAAACCACCTCGCCATCTGGCCTGTCAAATATACAAATCTGCATGGAAACGATTCTTTGGTCCAGTGGGAAGAGGATGAGCGGATAGACAAGAACCTTGAAAGGGGATGAATAGGATGAGAATGGCAATGCCTGAGAGACAGGAGACACCCAATTCCGACCAGAGGATTGCGGTCGTGATGGCAGCTTGAATCGGTCCTACCCACAAGTAGTGAAGGAAAATGACCGATTGATCGAATCTGTTGACATCGTTGGACAGGAGATTCACCATCTGACCCACGGTCGTTCGGCCAAGAGCACCTTTGCTCAGTTTCAACGCCTTTCAGGGAAAGGGAAATTTCGGATGAGCCCTTATTCCAGGAAAGAGCCAGGAATGGGGGAATTCGTACTTTTCTGTAGATGAGGGATCCACATGCGACTCTGATTTGCATTCCGCATCTCGAGATGTTGAAAAAGAGGGAATGATGCGTAAAAGTGTACAGAAGTGAACAAAGTATGACACCAGTGCCAAACAGCCAGCCCCAATACGCCTCGTTCCCATATTTCCAGTTTCCGGAGAAATATTGAATCAGCAGAGCCATGAATACAGGCTGAGATACTCTGAAAAGGAGAGTAATTTCAAACATGAAGCGATAATCTTCACTCTTTCCTTCTTTTGGGCAGTTGACTTCAATTCACTCTAGGTTCCCTCTCCTGTAATCTGTAAAAGCATTACAGCGCCATAATATGGAATGATAAGGGAGCTTAGAGAAATGAGGCAGCACACAACAATATCCGGTCACGTACTTGCCATTTGAGACGCATGAATGCGGTGAAAGTTTCTGCTGGCGCGGATCATTTTATTATTTCAATTTTATTTTTGCAATCATAACTACGATCATCCGGAATTACATTTTTTTATGTTTTTTTTTTTTTGTTCATACCTCAGGACGCACTCTTCGATGAAAGCAAGGATCCCGATGAGAGCATAATTCCCTCCGAAGGTCTTGATGATTGCTTTCAGGAAACTCGGCCATTTGACTTCCCGCTTGTCTTTCTTAGTCATTTCCCACGAGTCTATGTGGCCATCTACCACGTCGGCCTTCTTCAACTCTTTCTCCCATTGTCTTGAGAAATAATGACATCACAATTTATTACATAAATGCCCAATTGGAGAAGATATAGAGGAGTGAAATTTCGCAGATCATGTGCGAAGCCCAAGCTCTCGGAAAAGACAGTACGGGGTGTTGATAGAGAACTAGTGAATATTGGCACTTAATTACAGCTAGGAATATTTGCGACTGTACCGTATAGCTCTGAAGAGAGCGATATTATTCTCGAAGCACTGCAATTGAAATTACCTCTGAAGTTCGTCCCCAAGTCTCTCTGACTCATCTTCCCGTGGAACTCCGAACAGATCGTCTATTTCCAAGTCCCTCTTGGACCCAAGTCGCATTAGAGGGTTTAGCCACCTATAAATAAGAAGCAGACATACAGTATGGACAATGGCTATGTCAATCAGAAGCGTTTTTCGAAGAACTGATGACCGTGAACTGTCTGGTAAGGACACTCCCATTTCTTCCGGCCATTTTCGCTGATCATACGGTTTTTATAATTTTCCTGTGAATATTCCACGTATCTCGCGGATGTTTCACATTTTCAAAGCAAATCACAAGCAATAAAAATTTAAAGCAAATGCTGAGAAGGCCAATTTTATTAAATCATCCGGAGAATTCAGGTAACGCGTTCCCCCTCATTTGTCTTGACTCTCTTCTCTAACTTTTCTCATGCTCTCATAACATGTATGAGTTGAAGATGTTGATTTCCATCTCTATTGAAGACTTGCTTCTTGGGCAATGTGTAGGTACCCCTCTTGATAGCATTAAAAAAAAAGGTACACTTTTGGCAGTTAAGGCAATTTTCTCACATTTTCAGCACTTTTAGCATCTTTTGGCTTCTTTCAAAGTTATGACATCCGTACGTTCTCCGACCGATTATGGTGATCATTAATACATTGCACTTCTTTTCTTACGTTGCACTTACATCGATAGCAGTCTCGCGCTGAATGATTGTTTCCATGTATTTGTGCTCTTAGTGAGTAGGCACGTAATATTACGTCAAGTGCAGCGTCGTGGCAAGATTATGAAAAATATTATTGAATATGTTTGTTGCCTCGTCTATTAAGGATATGTTATTAATACGTAAAAAGCATTTCACAAGGCCATAAAATCATAAATTTGTTATATGTAGTTATAATGTTTTGCATTGGACTGCACTTAATCTACTAAGCACAATATGGAGCGGGGTCACAGAATAATGATTGAGTATGCGCGAGAGAGAATTTGCCCACCCCGGGAAAAACATTCTCGTGGGTGTGGGTGTAATTCAAGAGCATAAGGCAAAAACGCACCAAATACTACAATAAGTAGATCTGTCCGGTCTAACGGGCCCACCCTTACTACTCTTTTAATTCTCATAGGGGTTATTTGATATCAACTGTCTTCCTCTCGATTAGGGAAGAGGGTGACTTCGCCTTTCTTCCCTTCGTGAGGGTGGCGTGTGGCACCTGGGGGATGGAGGCATTACATAAATAGTTTTAACCCCGTTAAACGTTTATTTTTAACGCAGACTTTTCTGTAGAAAATATAAATAGACCTAGGTCCGCCGCTGATGGCCTCGAAGCCCCTCTCCGAGGTATTGATAAGCGGAAGACGCCACCTGAATAATGAGCAACCGTAAAAGAAGTCATGCCGGCGGAGCAGGGTTGAACCTGTACCTTTCGACGGAAATAGAACAGTGGCTTCAGCCCCCATCTGAATCGACTTTACAACTTGCTACCACTGTTATTCCTACTCCACTGCATTTAAATAAATAAAAATGAGACTGGGAAGCATTCGCAAAAGTAACGCTCTTGGACGAGCGAGGACCTAACGTGACCATTCATGTTGGGTCTTCAATCTGTGTCAGTGGACTTCCGCGTCTTTTTCCGATCGCTACTCGTCCCTTTGTACAAACCTCCAGAAGACATCCTTTCGACTTAATTACGCGTCGATATGCTTCCCTGTTGTTCCTATTCCAGATCCAGGTTATTTCCGTAATTCAATGTTGTGTTTATTTTTGTGGACGGTTTCCTTCCGTTCCTCTGGCAGTGAGCCTCTAGTTAAAAAAAAAAAGTTAATATACCGTCTTGTACGATAAACCTACTGTGAAAAGCTTGCTAAGAATCCCTCATTCAGCTCCAAACTCAAATCGTTAGCATGGCTCAGTGGTGCAGCTTCTACCTGCCATCCAAGAGATCTGAGTTCGATCCCCGTCTTCGACCCACTCAGCCACGATGAGACTGGGTGAACTTTCCCGACATTGAGCTCGGCTCAGTCGAATGTGGAAAGCTATACGAGATTCACCTTTCGATGCAAGAGCAAAACTCATTAATTGGACGAAGTATTAATGGACCATCCGCAGGGACTTGGCAAAGAAAGACCTGAAAACGCCTCGCCCTACCTGTGTATAATTATAATGCCAGTGGCCTTTAGATGGATTAGTTGAATGGCATGAAGACAAAAGAACGCCATGGAATGAAAGGGAACGAAACTCGGTTCTCCTGGTTGCTGGTCACGTTCGCCAGCATTAAATTATCGAACCACTGTCGAACCTCTCCATGCCATTCCTGTCACTGCACATGAACAATATCTCAAAATACAAGGTGGCCCGTCTGCTTACTGGTATTGCCTTAGGGCTGTTACCAAATTTCAAGTCCCAGCATAGGAACGCATTTCCCCCCACACGTCTCTGAATCAGTGGGAAAACTTGCATTATTTGTTTTTATCACCTTTTCAAGTCAGTACATTGAACGGACGTTTGAATGAAGGGATTAGAGCTAGAGAACAGCATTTCTCCTGAAGGTCAGCCAGTCTGCGTGACAAATTGAATTATAAAAGAGCCCAGAGCTCTGAAATAGTTTCATCAGACTAAAAGTACCCTGTAGGTGCTAGAATGCATACAAAGATCCTTATTGTGCTCGACCATGAAAAAAAGCATGTCCCTTTGATTCTGCCGCATCCAGAATTGTCAAATGCTTGCTGGATGTCCTAAATCGAGTAATCACTTCGTATTGATGAGATCCAGTTGACTTTCAGTTACACCTCGCGTTGTAAATTCTCCTCCCGTTAACAAATGAAAGTGTACGAAAACTGATTCGTGAGAACTTCTCACCAGACGAAGAGTGAGGAAATCCAACCGGCCCTGTCATGCGGATGCCTTTTCCTTTGCTGAGAAGGAAAAGGCGGAAGGGATCGACTAGACTTGGGGTTTTTCTCCTGAGGGCTTGGGAGGCGGAAGGCTCCCGACCGGACGAGGCACAGTGAATGCAACACTGCTTTTAACCACATGGTCAGAAGGAGCGCTACGATTGCACTGCATCTCTCTCCGCGAGGACGCCACAATTTACACGCCTGACGGAGGTGGGCGGGTCTATGGCTTCCTTATAGTTCGAATTCTTTTCGTTTCCCTCACTTCCAATCCCTGACGCGTATTCCATTCCTTATTCCATCCTCTAAAAGGCTTTGTACTTGTCCCTCATGATTGTAATTGGCAAGTCGTCCACGTATTTGCTTTTTCCTTTCTCTGAGTACTTCCGTCTCTTTTTATTTGAAATCGGAGGGGGTTATATCAAATTTTTTTGTGCTGATTTGACAAGGAATGGCCCTAGTGGGTGTCATTTCTATTCAACCAGGGGGGTTACACGACCAGCACGGAATCTCTTGAAAATTGGTGCATGTGATTCCTTCTGGAAGACCAATCATAACTCAAAATTTCAGCGCAATCTGAGCAATGATTTTTGAGCTATGGCCCCAAAATTTGTGCGAAAAGGGGAAAAGCCCATAGGAAATTGGGAGAAAAGCCCATAGGAATTGGGGAAAGCCCATAATTGCTAGTTTTTAATTTTTGGACTAATGACATGCTAATAATAAAAGTTACCGCCTAACAACATTTGACAACCACGTTAAAATTTTGAGGGACAAATTTTCCCAGGAGACAGGAAAATGACATATTTCTTAGAGCTTGATAGATGTTCTTCAGGCCTCGATATTTAGATCAGGCCTAATTTTATACATTGAGAGGTCAAAGACAGTCTGAAACTGGTTGAAGCATCGAGGCCTGAAGGACACCTACCAAGTTCAAACAGTTTGTAATTTTCCCCCTCCAGACAAAGGGAAATCCGTTCCTCAAATTTTAAACTCTTTTGTCAAATGTTGTAAGGCAGTAACTTTTGATTATGAGCATCAGTCTAAAAATTAAAAAAGACACATCCTGAAACCTCTCTCTAAGGCTTTGATTTGAGCTATTGAGGCGTTGAATCGGACCAATGGTAAAGAAACTAGGAATTATGGGGTCTTCCCCAGTTGTCCCCTTTCGCCCAAATATATATTCTTATTGGCGAGGAGACCTTTGAAAATTTTCTTATTAACAAAATGTTATTCTGCAGTATTCTTTGCAATTCTTTCCATTGTCTTTGCAACAAAACTTTTTGGTTCGGACGAGGCCAAGCAGACTTCGAAACATATTAGACTACTTAAGGGGGAAGGCAACCTTCATGGTGCTTTTCAGTTAAATTTGACACTCGTTCAATATAGCATTTAATTTATTTTTCAATAAATTGGAATCATTCATCAATTAACACGTTCACCCCGAAAGATGCAATATGAGTCATGATGGGTGAAATTGGAAACAAATGATGACAATCAACTGACATATTGCGTCATGTCGCCCCGCAATATTTCAGATATATTTTGTCAATACTTTATCGCAATACACGATGACCTTGATATTCATGGTATGCCATAAAAAGTTCACTTCCATCCCTGGTGAGAATTGCTCTATTGTCATCCAAGGTGAACGCGCTAAAAATCATATGAAGGGAAAATTTGTGTCCTAGTCAAGAGAAAAAATGTTGAATTCAGTTGAATAACACCACAATAAAGATGCCGAAATACCTGTAGTACCAACTTTGAATTTGGGTATTCAATTGATCTGTTGTCAAATAACCAAAAATATTTTAGGAAGAAAATAAAATGAAACAATAGTGTTTTAGACTCTTGGAAAGATACTTCCCTTTTGGAGAAGACTCGAATCAAATTTTCATTCCCAATTGAGATTTTGCCGCACTTAACGTGGTGACAGGGGAAATGCAAAAATTTCTGAAGCGAGATTCTTAGAGTCTCGTCGCTTTTCTGGGTAGGTGAAGAGAAAGGAAATCATGCGCCGCCAGTCAGACGGGGGAAATAAGTATTTTCTGTTTCCTCTCTTGTTTCTGCCCAGACACCTGGGAAGAGCATTAAACCCAAGGTTCTTTTGCGATAAGATAATACATTCAAGCATCCCCTATCATTATCTTTGATGTCTGATATGAATATTATATATGAAAGTCAGACGATATAGAAGGTTGTCTTCGTCTCTTGAAATCAGACATGAAAGTAATGCGAAATTTGTCATCTGGTTAGTTTCCGCGAACTAATTGTTTCTGGGGGCAGAGGCATATTCAGGTCAGTCGAATATCGGATAATTAGAATCAATTATTGATAGAAACGATCTTCCGACGTCTGTTTCGATAAATTGTCATCTACCACGGAGGTTATGCGCTAAAGTTTTGCCCAGACGTAACCCAGGAACAAAATATGGAAATAGAAGAGTTTCATTCGGAAAGTTCGAATGGTCACAATAACCTACGTGAGAGCGACGAAAGAGAGTGCGTGCAACGCCAACTTGCGTAACGGCCACCTGCCTCGAGGCTGGCTGGCTTATCTCGCGAGAGCCTTGCTACAATACTTAGATGCAGTAGCATTTCACTTCGTGACTAGGTCTGTTTTCTTCCCACGAAATACCACATCTCTCTGTCATCCTTGGAAACTGACATCTCTTCATAGAGCAGATAGCCCCATTTCATTCGAAGCTTCCTTTGCAAGTGTTCTTAAATTCGGAAATGTGCCATAATTTACTTTTCGACACCTCTTGTCCGCCACGTGATGATCTTTGAGATATCAGTTACATTTAATTTAATATTTTGGTGCGCATCATTTAAATGCTCGAGGCGTTCTAGTTGTAGCTGTCGGAGGGAAACGGACTTATAAAGTCATATCTCTGCGATAACACTGATGTGCTCACCAACAGCTGTAAAACGCAGTAAAGCGCAGTTCCGATACCAGATAACCGGTGTGACATAACTTTCAGGGAAAAAACTAGTTGGCATGAATGGTATGCGGAATTCTGATGTCCTCAGTCTTATGAAAAAGGATTTTAAAATATATGGTAAAGACGCCACGTTGGTGTTTTTTTAATTATAAAATATGAATAAGATCGGTGAGATTAATGAAATGTGGTGCGAATGCGAGGCTGGATGTCTCTTTTATTGTCGATTGTCTTGAAAAATAAAACCACTTTGGGTATGAAGCCTGCGTCAGCTGTTACTGTCTTTTGCCAAGGTTACTTCATGTCTCAATCGGGCTTTCACCGTAACGATGGGATTATCTATGAAGACGCAGGTGGCAATCCTTGGGCAGTCACGCATTTCGGCCATGCAGGTAACAGAATTTAAACGGGCAAATAGAGGATGCATGAAGAAAGCAAGTATGAAAAAAAAGCAAGGATACTCCCACAGCCCAGGGCTGGATTTAATATCCTGGTCAGTGCGAGGCCAATTACGAAGATATTTTTTGTATGACCTCCTAATAATGAGATATTTATAGCGAATATAGATTGTTCTCCTCTTCCCTTCCAAACATACCAAATCTTGCTGTTATGGCATAATAATAACACCATGGCGTCATTAGGGGCATAATGACACGTGACAATATGTATATAAAATATTCAGCAAAGGTTGTCCTCGGAAAGGCAATGGCGAAGGTGGCAAAAAGAGCTCTAATGAGTTTCGTGGTGGAGCAAAGAACGTAGCAGAAAAATGTATTGAAAATGAAGCAAGCTTCTTGGTACTTCATGCGTCATTGAGTAGTGAAAAAATGGGAGGGTTTTTCTTAATTCAGCAAAAAAAAGCTTATTTTAAACGAATAAAAGAATGAAGCATGAAGTTTATGTTTATTTTCAAGATAACCAGATTGTTCAATTGAGGGCGTCCTTCTAACTCAAACTTCAAGTTGGCTCAAAGAATAACGGGTAAAGGAGATCCGGATAATGTTTCGTTACGGGAAGTGAAGTAGTTATTAATTAGGTGAGGTACACATTGTTAATGGGGGCAATGGAGGTCCGACCTCCTCAAAAATTCATAAAGACACTTTCCCATTCAGTTTGGAAATATTCATGGAGATATCAAATATCTGAAAGAAATCTCTAAGAACCATTCACTCTCAATCGATGCAAACGAGTGAATTCCGGTCTCTGCAAGTTGACTCCTGCTCAGAACCGCGGATGGGAGGCCAGAACCTGTAGGCCTCCTCTGGATAATAAGACGATGCACAGCGGTATCGCTTAGCACACGTAATACAGTGACACGACAGCAGGGAGGCCGGCGTCACCGTCTGCATTGCGCAAGAGCTGCTGCCTGCTAACAAGCGCTAGCAAGTTTTAGGCACCTTTGCCCCAAGTAGAGAGCTGCCCGGTCATCCGAATTTGCCATGTAAATTTATATCTACACAATAGTCATGGATGGAAAAGGCACTATATATATATATAATCAAAAAAACGTTTCGACGTTCTGAAACTCGCTTGGGGAGAAAGTCGTCAGCTGATACTTTCCTTCATTGACCGGATGCGTTTCTACCATCCCTCATGAGTTCCATGGAAGTACCAATTTCCGCCCTACTTTTGAATGATTCTATTCAACATAAATTAGGGTTTCCACCCGTTCATAATTAGTATGGACAGAACATATGTCAGATGCAATGCCCGTACTACAAAGTTGTAAGATTTGTTAGCTAAGACAATCTTTCAAGACAGCTTAATAGCGGCTAAAACCATTATTTTCCGCGAGTCAAGAGTCAAGAGGCCACACTCTCATATCAATCGGCGCCTTGGCTAAAGGTGGCTGTAGGTACAGTATTTTCAGCAGAGTCATACATGCAAGTATACTTGGAATATTTGTCCATATTTCTTTATGTCCATAGTCCATATGTTCATATTTATTTAATTTAAAAGGTAGCAACCCTAAAATAAACTGCCAAAATGGAACGCTTTCTCGTTCAGCCTTTTATTTTACTCTTCAATAAGTGCGACTCATCTGGCGACAAGACTGACCTAAACACACCCTTTGCGCTTCATGCTTATGCTCCCCATTAATACAACGATGAATTCCCTTTCATTACGAACAACATGAGTTGGCCTTCCCAGATTTTTTGCCCACGAGCTGCCAATTGCTACACAAGACGGCAGTACGGCAGAAGAGTCGCTAGCAAGTTATAATTTTACATGTCTACAGCAGAGGACCATTTAAAAAAAAAGTTTGATATTATATTCAAAACTAATTTTTTCTTTGATCAATATAAATCAAATCATACAGCTTCATTAGTTTCGATAGCAGTCCAACCTTAACTTTCCATTGAATGCTTCTCGACATTTCTATTCTACTTCCCATAGCAAATACCTGAAAAAAGCAAGCATAAGTATTTTTATATTTCTATAAAAATTACTCTCTTCGATATTTCTATATACCTCAAGATACCCTCTATTTGGTCTGTTCTAGATGCCCGCAGATACAAAATTGACGTACTGTAAACAGGTCATCAGTTTGATTGCATTACTGTGGTAAAGCTGATATTTGAAGAAGAAAAAAAATTAATAGGCGAGGCTATACAATTCTTGAAAGCTGATGGTGCCAAATGAAACCATTGAACATTAAAGAGTAAAAGAACAAGAGCTTTCGCCAAACTGTCAGACAGGACAACTGCTTGTGTATCTGCGCCCCCTTGAATAGCTCCACGATTTCATGCATTATAGAGAAATCTTCCATCAGCATATTTTTGAATATATATGCGATATTTGTTTATTGATGCCAGTTCTCGTGAAAAGAGGTGACCGTGATGCGATGAGTTGATGACGCTGCCAATTTATCTCATGACCACGTGCTATCTCATCGATCGATAGGATTGAGAGACTCTCTCTAGTGAGGGAACTCTGTCAGTTCCACGCTCGAAAATCCCCACATGCGCAATGTGTATGCGTTGGCCTAAAGGACTCACCAGAAGAAAAGTCTGGAGATGAAGTTGGCCTGGTCGTAGGGAGAGACCTTCTTCTTTCTCCTGTTCTCCTCCATCTTTCCGCCCGGTGACTGCTTGCCAATGCTCTTCGCCCTGGCCTGGTATGCAAGCGCCGGCGCTCCTACGCCCAGTGCGATGTAATGCACAAGCGTCAGTTCTCTTTGACTCTCTCTCTCTCTGTCTCTTGTCATTCTCCTCCAATGCCAGGAATAAGGATTATCTTCATGGCATCCCTCGATATTTATGGCTCTAGTCGCTGCTTTATGGCTTGTTGTTTGTATCAGGTAGTCCGGAGATCCTGTCCACAAGTTGAGATCTCATGATGCAATGCCTGTTTGTCGCCACGTCAAGCTTCCGTAACTGATGTGAGATACTAGTAAATGGATGGGCACGGTGACTAAGTAGGGTTGCCACCTTTGAATTTAACAAAATATGGGCAAATATTCAAAATATACCCAAAGCCACCTAAGCCAAGGTGCCAATCGATACTATTAATGTGGCGTACTGCTTTTGACTTACGGAAAACAATGATACAAGGTATGTCACAAAAGTTCCAGAACTTATGTTATAAAAAAATATTGGAATGTAAATACAAACTATGACGCTTTTCCCCTTCAAAGTAATTTCCTCCTGCATCAATAAAATGTTGCCAGTGTCGCCGAAGGTTGTTGAAGCAACTTCCGAAGTCGTTTTCGGGATTATTGTTCATCAACTCTGCCACAGCCGCTTGAATGTGCGAATTTTCGCAATGCGATGACCTTTTATCGCTTTTTTGAACTGTGGGAACAGAAAAAAAGTCCTGTGGTGAATCAGGCGAATACGGAGGAGGAGGCAAGACAGTGACTTGTTTTCCGGCCAAAAACTGTTCGATAAACAATGCTGTGTGTGGGCGCTCATTTTCAGCGCAAATCGCGGACCGTGTTTCCATTTGTTCTGGCGTCAGATTTCGCGGAACGAATCTCTCGCACAACTTTCTTTTACACAAGTCCTCAGTTAAACTTCGGTGACAATTGTCACCGAATTGTTCAACTCGTCCGCTAACATCCGAACTGTTACTCGGCGATTTTTTTCACAAAAACTCCCAGACCCAGTCGATATTTTCATCAGAACGTGCAGTGGAAGTGCGGCGCGACCTGAGATCATCTTCAACACTCTCTTCCAATGCGAAAACGACCGTACCACTCAAAAACACGAGAAAGCGATAAATATTCATCACTGTAAGCTTGTTACAACAGGTTTGGTGTCTCTGTGGCATTTTTACCCAGCTTAAAGTAAAAATTTGATGTTCACTCGTTGCTCGTCCATCTCCGCCCATCACCTGACAAAGAATGACAGAGGCAAGTCGGCGCGCAAACACGAACGGGGAAGCATGCTGCGCGTGGTGTGACAGGAATGAACGTGTTAGAACTCGCATGGGAGTTGGGCATGGAGTCTACTTCACGCATACATAAGAGAAATTAAATGAATATCTCAATTTTTTTAACTTTAAAATCAGTCCTGGAACTTTTGCGACATACCTTGTATGAGTTGCTGTTAAGCTTCATTAAGTAAAAAAATCTGAACAAGTTTTAAATATGGACAAAACAGTGTCCATATTGAGTCCAGTTTGCAGTATGGACATCGCATCTGAAATATACTAATTACTACTACATACTAATTATGAACGGGTGGCAACCGTATGACTAAGGTATCTGTTGATTGACTTTTCTTTCAACAGAGGGTTCCATAGTCTCTACTTCGAAGTCAGAGAACCTGTTACAGGAATGCAAAGTATGCTTAAGTCTTACATGAAATTACCTTTGAAATAATTTTTAGCTCGAGAGATTGCTTGGTCCGAGAACTTCAGTCATATCCTATCTTTTCTTGCAGCGATTGCCAGTTGCTTCGCTCAGTCGACACCATCGATGAAGTCATCGTCTCCAGCGATACTCTCCATGACACAGCTCAGCAAGCTGTGCAATGCCGAGTTTTCCTGCCCACGTCAACATGGCCGCGGATTGAACATAAGAACGGCTTCCTCTTGACATATATGGATTAGATTTCTGTTATCCCGATCCGAGAGGAAATTGAGAGGATTCATGTGCAAATCGCAATCAATATCTCTCTTTCCAGCAGAACTGTTTCGACGCCTCCCCACGAGATCCTCTGGAAAAGCTGAGAAAAAAGGCGTGAGCCATGCCTCGAGTGAATCAGAAGAGCGCCCATTACTCGGACCCAGCAATCTCTCGTGCTACTCAGGGACTCCAAGGCTAATTCTAAAAGCGTAATTCTAAGGTACGACAGTTCCAAGTACGCCCGCAAGATTCGTAGTGCTCTGCACTCCTTCGTCATGCACTTCTCTACAACCCCAGCCTATGCTTACTCATGGTCTCAAAATTGGTCCCTTTACTTCTGCAAGAACTCTGAGTAAAAAGAAGTTTTATACTTAGCGGCGGAGTACTTTCAAACCCCTGAAAGCACGTGGTTGGACATCTGCTTTTATTTTAATTTTACAGGATACGTGCAATTGCAATTCGTTTTGGGAAATGAGGGTAAAACCAGGCCCCTATTAATCATGGGTTATTACCAACTCCTAGCGAACAGGCAGTGGTCACGGTCATCTTGCGTATAAGCGATTGTATTTCGTTTCTCGCTTCCTGCGGCATGAAAACAATCCTTTGTAAGTAAATTTAAACAGTATGTACTTGGAGTACTTTCTCTACAAGTAGGAAACAAATAATGGAAACCAATGAAGACAACCTAAAACCAACTTACACGCTCGACATATTTTAATGGCATATGATTAAGTGCTCTGCAATTGTGCCTTTCAGAAAGTTCATATAATGCAAAATAGCCTTATCTCATGATATTCCTCTCCTCATTTCTCAAGTTCACGCTCGTTCACAATTTCCACCACAACTAGACCTCAAGTTCTCCGTATGCAATCCATCAAGATTCATACGAAACACTTCCGGAGATGCTGTAATAACTGTTATTGTCGGTGATATTAATGCTGTTGGTCTTTTCCTGATTCTCAATACAGGTCAGTCACCCTTGCGCAGGAACTGTTAAACAAATTTCGGTACTTGAGGTACCGATGGACTTGTCTGGCACTCGGGTGCGCCTTTTGAATGCTGATTTCCTAGTCCTGAAAGCACTCAAGAGTAATATTTTGTATTAGCTACTGAACCAATCTGGATAGGTGAGGCATGTGTGAACTCGATTCAGCATAAGAGTGTATATTTTGTGATACCTATCACTGAATAATTCCTGAAATTTGAAAAGTGCTAAAAATTGAATCATTCCCTGGCTGCCTCGTCGATCAAAAACTGCTTTATTGATTCTGACAAAGAAAATACCAATGGATTCATTTTTCAGCAAAAACCTGCCTCTTCCAGGACTCAATTTCTGATTTTTAAAGTACTGAAAACTACGCATTTTATAAAAATTAATAACTTGTGGTTGGATTTTCGCAAGTGATGAACCAAAGGGCTTGCCTCTTGGGCCGTCGTGTGGTTACTGTGGATCTCAAATCCTATTCTGAGCGGGTAAATTCTAACAATTACTTTCTGCATTGAATACAATTACCTTCCACGATCGAATTTCATATTGGATTATGACAATTAGGTATTAGTAGACTTACCTCATTCTGAGTGTGTGCCTTTTGGGGATCGCAAGTGCTAAACCAATATTGAAGGCAGTGAAAGTGCTTTCTTACATGGCACATGCATGTGAACATAGAGCATAAATAATTGATGGATTCAACAAATTAGGTACTGATGGACTAGTCTCGTAGTGCCAAAGTGACTTTTGGAAGTCTCAGTTGCTGGGCTGGTACTGAAAATACTTTTTCCTGGTCATTCTTAATGTGTTCATCGAGGTAAAGCAAGAGTTGCATAAATGTACCTCTAAGACATGCCGAACACGCGTGCTGGCTACGTGATCGTCCGAGAGTTGGCGCCATATATCCATGCTTCATGTTTGCTGCAATACGATGCGAAAATTTTCATATCACAGGAATAAATTCTCTGTATTCACAATGTTCGATAATCGTGACATGAGTCACGAGAAGGCAAAAGGATATGGTGGCAATAATATTAATGAATCACTGAGGACCCCTCATTTGGATACATGTTGCTATTTCATGGCCGCACGAGGGGCTCGACTTCTGTGGACTTTCATCTTCTTACTCTTTCTCCTCCTCCTCCTCCTCTTCCTCTTCCTCCTCCTCTTCCTCCTCCTCTTCCTCTTCGTCGCTTACGTAAACAGGCTCAGATTCCTGCTTCGGGGTGTCCGGTTGCATCTTCAACTTGTCTGGGAACTTCTTTGAATAGGCCTGCAAATAATTTATGGAGAGCAGATCTATACATTGGTATTCGTTACCGAAAATAAGGGTTTATTGTAGGCGCTGAATCCATGGGAACGAGTGAACACATATTCCGCTCACTCAATCACTATCTCTGATTCGTATCATGTTACATTTTTAAACCATACAGCATGGTATGAGAACCGTGACGAAAACTGCAAGTGACTCAAGAGCTCCTAAACCACGTCACGTTACCGAGCTGACTGTTCGCAAGGACAGATTATCTAGACCTCAGAACTCTCTTTGACAACTTGATTGGTGTCAAAGAATCACGCTTAAATGCCTTTGACCACTTGCACTTCTCTACAGACGGTAAGTGACTGCAATTTACTTTGTACGGCGCCAGATGAGCTGTATTTTTTAATACAGCTCTCACCCACGTTGTGACGTGATTCATGGTCGTGAAAACATGACCAACAATTAACTTAATTTCTTCGATGAAATATAGCAGTTCTTTATACCTCCTTCCTTATTGTACTTACCATCGCGGTGTCAAGAAAAATCACATCCTCATAATTTAGCTGTTTTCTGAAAATAACCGGATTCAGGCCACGTTGGCAGAGATCTTTCGTCTTGCGTTCAACGATGTTGCTTCGATATCGATTCCGCACAAGCATATCCATTAAGCAATTACCTGCGGATCGGAAGCCTCAACATGGTCTCCTCCTTGACCTACGCATATATTCATATATACATATATTCTTCCAATTTAGCAGCTGACTAAGTTCAACCCGAAGATTGAACGCTCTCGATCTTTTTACTCCTTGGACTTCTCGTTCCATAGACTCTCCCGCTCTCAAATAGATTCTATGAATAATGGTTCGTCATCTCTCATTGCCTCTTCTCCATGATGCTTATGAACTACGTGCCTCATTCCACATGAAACACGAGGAATGACCCTAAAGGCTAGTAGTATTGGCTACAGTTAGCTGTCCTGATGAGAAGCTGTTGGCGTCTGTCATGAGAGGCAGATCTGTTGAAAGGCCGCACTAAGAAGTAATTTCAAGACGTGCATAGTCAAGATCCAATCAGTAGAAAAAGTCAAGATGCCTGTGAAGTAGTGATAAGTAAGTCGTGGATTCATCTCTATCATGCATAGAAGCATTTGGGACAACAGAAAACTGGATGGGAAACAGGGTAGTGCTACTCGATAAATAAGGATTTGTAATGTGTCAGATTCCGAGTGCAGGGGTTTTCCTTCTTGCTAGTTCGTACAAACGACATAACAGGTTTTATATATGCATGCGTGACCGCAACATGCAACGGTGCATGTGTATCAACGCTCTTACCTGCTCTCCTTCCGATTTCCTCAGCGCCTTCCATCCCAAAGAGGACGTTAAAAGAAAAGAATCATCGTTTGCACAACCGATATCTCTAAAAGAGCAGTTATTGGGAAAAACACCAGTTCATTGACGGGTGCTTATTTGTGGACGGTTTAGTGTAGTCTGTCATCTTGGAAAATCTGCGCCAAAAATTTGGCCAGAATACGTTAGAATCAATCGAATCGAGCAGTTAAGGTTATGAATTTCCTGCAAAGGTTTTATAATACAGAAAATGCAAAATCGTCCACGAATAGGCGCCCATCTACGTACTGGGATCTTCACCCTTTATCGTATAAAGAGAGGAGGTAAGAATATGATTGCTGACCATGGCAGCGGAAATGTAAAGGCGACGACTGGCAGCACGTCCGGTCTGTTCCACCAGCTTGAAGAACATCCCGTTTTTGTTCAACAGAAGCTCGTAAGGATGACCCTGCTCCTGAAATTTAAAGGAGTTTCATCTATCTTCTGAAATAAACAGATCCAAAGATTGGGGTTGGAACACGGAAAGGTTTTTTTGTGATGGTGAATGGAAGGACGATGATGGCAACGGAGCGAAGAATCCGGGGACGGATGCAACGCTCAAGTGATTCGAGCAGCCTTGATCACTTTCAATTGGTACGGAATGACACTGGGCTGGATTGCACATCTAAAGCACCTTTCTTTAGCTCATTCTCCCTTTCTTAAAGGTTAAGGTCAATCTCACCTTCTCGGGTATACAAGTCCACTATCAAGTCAGATCCGTCCTCATGTTCAGTCATCCGTTGAAGGCCAACCGGAAGTGATCATCGAACGCTCTCATCGTAACAACGAGAGCATTTTTTTTTCAAGCACAATTTGAGACTCACTTTGAGTTGGCCAGCATCGAGGACGAGGATTTGATCGGAATCGATGATCGTATCCAATCGATGGGCAATAGTGAGAACCGTGCTAAAAGCGAACTTCTCCCTCAGGGTCCTCTGAATCAGCGAATCCGTCCTATGTGGAATAGAATAAATCTATGTGACAGCATTCCTTCCCTCCGCCCATCCAGGCGTGACTTTAAATCACTTGCGGTGTGATCGTTCAGTCGGATCCCCCATTGATTCAATCTGTTGGGGCGTGGCAAATCCTGGCTGGCAAACACGGAAGTTATATTAACCAAATTATCTGCTAAGACAAGCTATCTCAGATTGCTTACCCATGCAGAATCCCACGGTCACCAAGCTTATACCGTTTCTATCCCCTTCCTCCTCGCATTGTTATTATAGTAAGTTTAGTTCTGTACCAAAAAACATGTACTTAAACTGTGCCTCACGTGAGCCCTTTCCCCAAATGGAATATTGTATATCAGTCCTACTGAGCACAATTCGAATCCAAGCCCGTAAAATCCGAAATAGAAAAATTTTCCTTCTTTTGGCTAAGTCTCTGAGTCCATATTGTTCCTTTCGTTAATGTTCACTATTTCCGAGGATCTGGGAATACAGTACATCGCTGGGATCTTGTTCTGGTAGCCAAATATCAAACAGATATGAATGATAATAAATTCTTAGCCGATTCTAAGAGAAAAGGTACTGATGGACTGATTCACCTTGCCTTGAAGTGTAGCTTTCAGGGTTTCAAGCATTGATATATTACTGAAAGCACAAAAAAGTCCTATTTGGGGTATTAAAGATTGAACAAGTACCTAAAGAAACTCACAATAGAAAATTCCTCAGGCTCCCCATGAGAAAATACCGAGTGGCCCAAGAAAGTTCGGAACTTTATAAAGGCCACAGATGGCACACTAAAGTAGATATTAGTAGGAAAGCCTCAGGGTGTTACACTCAACATATTTATATTGTTTCGCGAAATTTTCACTGAAGGTTGTCTTTCAGAACCCTCGTAAGTGCTATTTTCCCAAGCGAAGTGAAATGAGGGCGTGTGCAAAGTGTAGTGTCGTGTCTGAGGAGCAGACGACAGGACCAGCATCCAGTGTTGCTGAAAGGGACTAGACCAGCTAGTCAGAGGCTTTGAGAACAAGTTTTGTGCTGTGCCTGTTTTTTACTGGAGGAGTGGTTTTTATCGAGCATGGACATGGATGAACACACTAACTGCTCTAAGTGGGGGTTCTCCTCTACCTCACATGACACCTGAACATTGATACGAGAGAGCAGCAGAGCTGGGGGTGTGTCAGTGGATCCCGTCTTCCGGTTGGCGCTTGTTTCGTCGTGGTGCTTGGTCTGCCGAGTCTTGCTGGTCCACACATTTTTCCCTTGCTGGTTTTTTCCAAGTCTTGCTGGTCCGCACACTCCCTTGCTGGTTTTCCCAAGTCTGGCTGGTCTGTTCATTCAGTGTTTTTACATGGCCTAGCGCCTGCCAAACATTTGCTCGTTGGTCACATTCCGGCCTATGGCCTGAGCCATTGCCTGAGTCATTGTTCATTGTCTTATTTGGAACATGGCGCCCTGACAGGCGGCCGCACGTTCCAACCGTTCCTCTTTCCGTTTGTCTTCGTCTTTGTCCTGTGTGTTGTTTCCGTAAACTTCCTGGCCTTCCCTAAGCAAAAAGTTAGCCTCTTTGCCTCTCGGTGCCAAAAACCTTTGCCTCGCCTACGGACTCCTAGCTGGCCACAATGGTCACTCCACCATCCAATAGCACTGCTCCTTCCCTCTGATGGTGCTTGTCATCGAACTGGAAGCCTGGCGCCTCCTTCTTTACTCTGAACCCTCTGCTCTTCCCCTCCTGAGTAGGACCACACCCTACTCTCGCTTTTGGACACAGCAGCTGAGTCCTTCCATAGTGTTCGCCTATTTTCTCCTCTGCACTACTTACGACCTGTCGCTTATTAGCAACACCCTGTCTAGACGGACACGTGACCTTGAAAAAGTCTTCAAATGCTCCTTATTCAATACACCTCGTCCTGTCTGAAAGAGCTTAAGTCGAAGGCGCTCCAAGCCCCCCGAGTCCACCTCGATAGTGATCTTCACCTCCGCCTGAAGTCCCTTCGAATCCTTCGAAAACGAAGAGGCAAACGAGGTGGCAAACGAAAGCGCGCACGCTGCCTCCCAAGCTTTTACGTGGCAAACGTAAGATCAATTTCTAACAAGCTTGACGAATTCAACTTGGAAATGCGTCAACTCAAACCCTCCATAGCAATCCTCACGGAGACATGGCTACGACCAGACCATGGCCTATCCCTCTCCTCTAGCCCCCTAGATGATTACCATGCATATCACTACACTAGAAAGCAAAGGAAAGGCGGTGGAGTGAGCATATTCGTCAAGGACGAGATACCTTCCCGTATTCTCCCCATGGATGATACGGACGAATCCCTCGAGATAGTATGGGTACGGCTGCGACCACATTGGCTTCCTCGCAAAATCACAGCAATAATTGTTTGCGGAGTTTACTCTCCACCCAGGAACCTCCTCCAAGATCTCTTGATTGACCACATAACGACTAAGATTGACCATCTCCGCACTGAACATCCAGCTGACAAGTTCCTCCTAGCTGGCGACTTTAATGACCTACCCCTCGAACCCTGCCTTACCAACTGCGGCCTCGTGCAATTAGTGCAGTGCCCCACTCGCCTACACGCTACCCTCGACCTCATCTTCTCCGATCTCCACGAATGGTATCGCGATCCCCTGTTACGCCCGCCGCTAGGCAACAGTGATCACTCCTCATTGTGGTTGGCGCCCCAACGCTACATCCCGCCCCCTAAATCGACCAAGACCGTCCTGTCCCGGCGTTTTCCCGATTCTTCTATTCGAGCCTTTGGAGACTGGATCACTCACTACTCCTGGACTGAAGTCTTTGCAGCCCCTGACGCCAACTCTAAGGAACGGGTCTTCACCAGCAAGTTGCAACAACAAATTGACCACTTCTTTCCCCTCCGTAAGGTGCACTTAAGCTCTACTGATAAGCCCTGGATGAACGGCAACATTAAACGTCTTATCCGCCTCCGTCAGCAAATGTTCTACGCCGATCGACGTAAAGAACATCTCCACCTGGCCAACTTGATTAAGCGGAACATCCTCTCGGCCAAGCAGAAATTCTTCAACGAGAAAGTGAAGATCTTNNCCCCCCCCTTAATTATTTGTCCATTTAAGCATCCAACAATTAATTTTTCATTCTTTTACTTCAGATGCATCCCAAGCGTGAGCAGTTTTGCAGCTTTTTCAGTCCGAAATGCGATGCGCGGGAATCAAAACACGCCTAAAAATTCACAGATCCACCGTTGCGTGCACGATTTCCCGGTTTGAAGAGCGTGGTGGTTCTTCTGACCGTCCGAAAGCGGGTTGTCTGGCCTGGATCTAGTAACCTAGCATGTTAGGTGACCAGATCCTGTTGCTTTGGACGTTAAACGTTAAGGGTGGGTTCTTGTACTCCCTTTTAGCCCTGAAAGACCTTTTAGATCCATTGCCAGCATAGGACTAAAAGCCTGTTAGCAGCTAAAAGGGAGCACAAGAACCCACCCTAAGAGTTTCTCGTCCGAAAATACGATGCTGCAAAGCAATTTGCATCTGTCCTTCCGTATCTGCTTCATCTTCTCCGTAAGCAAGTGCGCATTTTAGAGCTTTTATTATTTATTTATTTTATTTATTTTCATATTTTATTAGTTTTTTCAAATGTCAAGCAATAGAGTAGTTATGGAGCTCCCAACTGGCCTTTCATTTTAGCCCACAGTGCTAGGCAAAGTGCCATCCTGGCCCTAGCACTACAAAAGGAAGTGTATCTGACCTCAAGAAAGACAGAAAAGAGAGAGAGAAAAGGGCTCGATAGCTTCTCCTTTCTGGTCCATAACCTCTTTCAAGCGCTGTTTCCATTGGTCGATTAACTTCCTAATTGAATCATCGTCCACAGGAGGCCTCATTTCCTCAATCCTAGCCTTCAGTTCAAGTGTTGAAAATGGCGTGCAGCGTCTAGCATAAACAAGCTCCTTCACATCGTGCCAAAAGTGCATAAGAGTATTTAAAAAATAGCACTTTTGACTTCATCCGATGAAATCAGTAGCCACCCAATTTTCCTGAATTAAACTCCCTTGACTACGGAACGTGGAACGAATTAAAGGAGCTTGTTTTGTGGCAGTGATCCAAATGTTGCAGTGTAAAGTGCAGAACCTTCTTTGGGGCCACTCGGTATTATGGGATAGATTTGGAAAAATCCGTGGTCAAACATCAAAATGTTTCATAATTAAAAAAATAAAAGGGATAAATATACGGATAATTTCTGACTTAAACGTGTAATACTACAATGCAATGTCGTGATATCTGGTGGACTAACTTGGGATCGACGTTGGCCGTGGCTTCGTCGAGAACGAGGACCTTATTTCGTCGGAGAAGGGCCCTGGCGAGACATACCAACTGCCTCTGGCCGACTGAGAAATTTCCACCACCTTCTGACATGGTGGCATCCAGGCCACCTGGTAAATCCTTCACCGCATCCTTCAGCTCTACCTAGGAGTTAGGATTTAAGAAGTTCCAGAAAAAAAACCTGCATTTCTGTAGCAGTGTATTGCATTGCAGATAAACTCACTTGCTCCAGAGCTCCCCACAGTAGATTGTCATCGTATTCTCCGAAGGGATCCAAGTTCTTCCTCATCGACCCCTGTTGAATAGAATTTGCATTTACGGAAGCATGATCAATGCAATCACATACTCGTAATACGAGAAACCGCGCGAAAACGAGTGGGAAACTAGCCTGGAAAAGAACAGGATCTTGAGGTATGATGGAAAGTCTTCGACGGACATCGTGCAACCCCAGGGTTTTGGTGTCGACGTCGTCAAGGATGATTCGACCTAAGGGTTCTGTCAGCCGAAACAAGGCGGCAATGAGCGATGACTTCCCAGCTCCCGTTCTTCCCACGATTCCCACCTAAAACGCAACCAGATTTATCTCCCGATCATCTTATCATGTATCATATTTAACATTTAATGCATATAATTCCGATCTACCCTTTTGACTGCCTCTCCCTACCTTGTCCTTGGGGTTGATCTTGAAGGAAAGATTCTTCAGGACCGGAGTGGCATCGGCATCATACAGAAGGGATACATTGTCGAAGACCACTTCTCCTTTCGATGGCCAATCTTTCGGAGGTCTTTTCTCTGTCAACGTAAGGGAGCAAATATTCGTGCTTTTTATGGGTCGATTTCAAAACCCATGGGAAACACGACACGCGAGAGACAAGTTATGTGGGTTTCCATTTTGATTATTATTGCTCCATTTAGTTTTATTTATTTATTTTCCCCTTTATTTCCATTCCATTCTTATTTATTAATTATTTATCTGTTTTATTTATTATCATTTTGTTTCTCACCTGGAGGAGATTCCAAGGGGGGCTCTGGCTGAAGCTTGGAGTATTCCAAGATCCTTTCCACGGACGTCATGTGATTCTCCAGTTCTGCACTCTGACGCGCTCCCCATTGAAATCCTCCGGCAAGCGTGAGGGCCGATGAGATGGCCAACGCCACGTCTGAGCTCATTGAGTCTATGATCAGCCAGAAAGCGGCGAAGGCACAATGAATAAAAAATAAACTCTTTCGAAGGACAAAAGTGACAGGGCTGGGAAAATACCTGCAAAGGCCATGAAACTGTAGGTGACTGAGGCATTGAAAAGCATCACCAAAATGTCCACATAGATGCCAAACCATCGCGTGGAAGCGACGAAAAGGAACCATGCAGTCGTGTGCAAGTCCTGTCGAAAAGCATTTTCTCTTTTGAATTTTCTTCCAGTGCTGAAGTTCGAGCAAAAACAAAGTCACTACTAATCACCTGGTGATTATCGAAATCCCGGATGAACGTATCTTGTGCATGAGCTATCCTGATGGTTGTGAGACCGTTCAAAGAGGCGCTCAGGTGCGAAAAAACAGGACTACGTGCTATGGAATATTACATAAGCAGAAATTTCATAACAAGATTGAAAATTGAAGACCAGAAAAAAGGACTGTAGAATTCATAATAAAAAAAAACTGACTTGTCCCCTCAAGCCTCTTAATACTTCTTGCAGAAGCCAAGTAGAAATTACGGATGAATATAAAGATGACAAAAGCCAATACGGCTGGGAGAAGGATCCAGGGATTCACGGTTCCAATCAAGACCACCACTCCAATCACATTCAGGAATATCTGTCGAAAAATAGGCACGTCAGCCATATCATTCCTCTCGCATCAATAAAAAGAATCAGCAGTGCAGGTGCCATGTGCAGGAACAGATTAACTTGCATGCGAGCATGCATTCATACACGCACGTATGACATTCCGTCCACTGGATGCAACTCACCCCTGTGACATCGTTTGCGATCAAGGGCAAAAGTTCGTCCAGTGTTCCACAATCTTTGGAAAATCTATTCAGGACCCTACCTGGAAAGCAACATCAGACGTGCTACAAATCGCATGCATACTTTCCTACGCAGGGACGTGGAAAAAGAAACAGACTAGGAATCATGCACATATCACTGGCATGCATATCCGATTTTCATGCAACTTTTCCCCAAGGCAGTGCTTCTGAATTTATTCCCTCCCTGGAGATTAGAGGCCTACCTGGAAAACGTCGAGGCCAATACTAGGAAGGACTTCGTCCAAAACCCAAACGTCTCGTGAGAACCTATTCTGCGTCCTCCCTATGGAGAATCGCAATCATTTCAACCTTCTAAAAATAATTCTGCGGTGTTTGTGGCTTTCGGCTGTCTGCCGTCGGGAAGGAATATAATACTTTTCTTTTTAAGCAGAAAGCTCTTGCCACTCTTTTAGAACAGCCTGTAGCATTACGAGCACGATTCCATTCTGATGATAGGAATGAACTCGGAAACCGAGAAAACTTACCGATTGGGTTATCATCGAAGAATTTGATGGAAGTGCGGATGACAGCCCTGAACATGCGATGATGAAGACGGACGGAGGAACGAAGGCAGGCGAAGAAGAAGGCAATGGTTCGTAAGAGGGAAGACACGAAGAGGACTCCAACTAGGCCCATGTACACGTACAATGCCAGCCATCTCCCCGGATAATACGTATCACATCCTGCTTCTGTCGTGCCATTTTTGGCTTCGCACTGCTCCCCGTTTGTCCTGCATTCCAGAAACCGACTTAATTCCAGATACAGACCAGCAATTGTAGTGTTTTCTTTATTACTTTAGATGGGAGAGTATACTCCCCGGAGTCGCTGCTGTCGAAAGTGATCCCGGTGATGAAGAAAGTCAGATCGTAAGAGAATAACTAAAATGCATTTTCGACTTTCTCGTCTTCGACTTTACTTATACGAGGTGCGTTCCAAAAGCCTTTACCGTTTAAGTGTGAATGATACACTGGAGGAGGGACAGCGTTGCCTCACGTTTTACTTTTCAACATTGTCTTCCTAATTCTCGAGACACAGTCGACACCGTTTTATCCAGTCTTCATAGCACTGGACGAGCGAATCTTCAACGGTACGTTTAAACCACTGATAAATCGAACTTTTGCAGCTCTTGATGCGAAATGGGTACCCCGAAGCGAATCCTCCAGCCTGCTGAACAGCCAGATGTCGCTGGGAGCCAGATCAGGTGAATAGATCACAATAGATCATAGATCAGGTGGGAAAGGCAAGGTTTCGATCTTCGCTTCCATCAAAAACTGCGTCACAACGTACGCGGTAACAGGTGGTGCGTTGTCCTGGTGAAGGACGAATTTGCCCTTCGCGAGCCGCGAGCGGAGTTTGGTCAAAGCAGGAAGCAGTTCTTTTTGAAGCAGGACCCGGTAATATTGACCATTAATTGTTTGTCCTTTGGGAACCGAGTGTGCCAGAACAACTCCATGCTTGTCCCAAAAAAATTGCGCAGAGAACTTTGTCATTCGATGCCACTTGTCGGAATTTTTTTCGGAGGCGGTGAGTCACTGTGTGTCCATTGCTTGGATTACCTTTCGGTTTCCGAATTGAAGAGTGGGATCCAAGACTTGTCCATGGTAATGACTCGATCCAAAAACTACATGATCGGCCGCACGTCTTGTCAAAAGCGAGCAACAGATGTCCAAACGCGACTGTTTCTTCTGATCGTCAAGCGGCGGGGCACCCAGCGCGCGCTGACTTCTTTGTTCATGTTGAACTCCTCAATCAAAATGCGGAAGACGCTCCCGCGAGACATTCCCAGAGCTGAGGAGATGTCGTCGATGGTCCGCCGTCTGTCCTCCATAACCATCATTCCAGACGGCGAACATTTTCTTCAATCAGTGAAGTCCTTGGACTTCCTGACAAATCTGCGTCCTTCGTGTATCCATTCCTCCAAGAAACTCACAAACCCACTTGCGAACGTGTGCAGTCAACGAGGGCAGCAAAGCCACAGACATCCCTCAGCTGTCGGTGAAGTTTAACCGCGTTTTCTACACGCGAAAATAAAATTTTCACGACAGCCTTTTGCTCGTTTCGAGTGAAGTTCATTTTTTAAATGCTACTTTCCAAAATAAGGCTCACAAAATCCCTGCAACGTACGCAAAACCATTTCACCACGCTCAATTACACAAAGTTTACAGCTGACAGGCAAGGGACCGAGGACGATATTGGCGCCCACAGTATACCGCTGCAGTATTGAATCTGAGCTGAAAATGCCTCCGGTACGAACTTTTGGAATGCACCTTGTACGTTTTCTCCATCAATATTTGACGCGTCGGCTTGATTCTTTTCGAATATATCTAACACTTGACTGTTTACGAAGAGACGATCTGTAAAGCAGAGCTCAAGGAAGGCTCTGCTTTACAGCGTAAGAAAAGTCTAGCTAAATTCCCATGACGTCATCGTCCTGGAAACGAAGGTAGAAAATAATGTACCTGAGGCAGAGTTTCCCTGATTTAGACAGGTTACCGTTTCCTTCTCTTATAATGCTCTTAAAAGTAGCACACTCGTAAATAGGGAAATTTTACATTCCAATAATTAAATTGCACTCTTTTGTGCATGTCTTAACAGGCCACAGGTAGGCCTCACTTTCTGCTGATGACGCTTGAGAAATCACTATATTCTTTCACGAGATGGACGTGGAATGGATGGACGTGGATCACTTCATATGGCTTTTCCAGAAAATAAAATTCAATTAGAAGCGCTCAGTTGATCTGCCTCGCTGCATACTGTAACTCAGGGGTTCCCAACCTATGAGTCAGCACCCACTCCCAAGTCGATGTGGAGTTTTGGTTTGGACCCAAGAACATATGCTGTCAGAAATGATGTTTTCCACCTCTATTTTTCCATTGATCAAAAACCTTCTTTATGGGTCACGACGTTTCGTAAGCAATGTATGGGTCGCTGTCAAAGAGGCTGGGAACCGCTCATCCTGTCCATTTGAGAATCAGTCGAGTTGGAGAGTATGGAAGATTATTAAATGAAAATCGATCTTCTATTGATGGTTCATGACATTCCATGATTCTTGAAGTAAGGTGTAACTCTCAGGCTTTCCTTGTGATGAAGCGCAGAGAATGGCAAAAGAAACATAAAGCCATTCATGACCAGATGTAATTCGACACTCGTGCCTGCATCCTACACGAACACAATGGATTAAAAGGATAGTGGAGCTCAAGGACTGACCAAAGAGAAAGCCAATAGTCGGAGCCACTGAAGGCAGCTTGGGTGAGGAGGTTCATGAATAAGAGGAAGACGAATCCAAGAGTACCAGTCCCCGTGACGATGTAATCCCAATAAACCTTCCATCTCACTTTACCCATGGCAGTAATTTCGGAAGCTTGCATCGGTGAATTCTGATTCTGTGTAACAGAGACAGTTCTCGATGAGCACAACTCAACTCATACCTTCACGACAGAGATATAATTGGTGACTTCAATCACAACAATTTAACCTGACTTTAATTTTATCTTGACCTGCAGATCAGTAGCCGTACAACTGCTGATTTTCCCTTCATTTAATCCAATAATGAACTCGAATCAAATTAGTTCAGTCGAAGCAAACCGGCGCATGTCGCACAATATTTCGTTAAAAGCCCTCAATCCAGGCTTACATTCAAGCCAGTGACTTCCTCCATGCCTCCGAGCGAAGAAGCGATGCTGGTAACGCTGCCTGTGGAGAGGGTTCGAGCTCGACCGACGGGTGTCAGTTGACCGTGATGTTCAGGTGTTCGAGAGGCTTCTGACGTCGGTGGTTCGTCTCGGGCCAAAAGCTTCGCGAAATCCATGCCCGAATTCTTCAACGATTCGTACGTTCCGTCCGCCTCCACTATACCCTATAGGTTCGAAGGGATCGCAACATTGGCCGTAAAAAAATTATTATAAATGGAATTTCTAAGAATCTCACCCTCGAATGAATGGGACCTGTCTGTGAAAGTATATTTGACAAAGTCAAGGAAACACAGCGATAGGCACTACTTCAGAACCATTTAATTAATTAACTACTCCTGCAAAATACTTTCATTATTCGTTCTCTGGCTTCAGAGATGACCAGTTGTAACTGAATGATGTCACGCCAGTCAAACTAGTAAACCAGTTTTCTTTTTTTGTTTGCGAATTGATCGAAAAAATACCTTGAGCCCTTATCAAAATAAGTGCATTGAATGAATATATCAACGAGATGGAGAATTCACGAGGACCCATGGTGTAAAAAGACGTCACTGTCGCTAGATGTGTATCTTTGCAACGCCAACAAATCTCAATGAATAAATTTCCATCCTGCAATGAGGATTTGAAAAGATCGAAAAGAAGGGAGGCTCTCAAGAAAGAAAGGATCTCCCACTTCATCAGACAGATCAGTTTGAAAATGAGATTACAAGCAGTTTGTCTGAAATCAGTTCAAGTGCCTGAGAAGTTACAACTACTACTTAACGAGCCTATGGCAAGAGTAACTGTAACTGGGATTTGTGTTGAAGCTAACCAGTTCAGTTTAACTAAACACGTTAACATCACTGAAAACTGACATTGTTGAGAACGATGATTCGATGGGCAACTCGAAGGAACTGGAGCTGATGAGTGACCAGCACACGTGGTTTGTTTTTCAGGAACCCCATGATGCAATTGTCGAACAGATGTTTCCCCACGTGCGCATCAACTGCCGAAAGTGGGTCATCCAGGAAATACACGTCCGCCTCTTGATATAGGGCTCTAGATAAAACACGAGATGAAAAACCTCAAGGCAAAAAAACTCTCACCAGCAAAAAAAAAATCAGCACGTATTGAAACGTAACCTGGCAAGAGAGACTCGAGCTTTCTGTCCACCGGAGAGTGTAAGCCCTCGATCACCGACCAAAGTCTTCTCTTTGAAGGGGAGTAACGCCAGATCCTTTTGAAGTGCACAGGCATGGACGACTCGACGAAACAGTTTCTCGTCAAAGGGTTTCCCAAATGTGATATTTTGACGAATGGATCCTGCAAAGACCCAGGGTTGTTGCCCTGTGTATCCCACGTTTCCGGTCACTTTGAGTTCCCCACTCTCCAGTGGCAACTCCCCCAAGAGCGCTTGTATCAAAGAACTCTACAATGCCATTCGATATTTTTCATAAATCGATCAAACGATTTTTCATACATCCCTGAGCTTTCAACATTAATGTATGTAAAGATGATAAGAGACCTTTCCGCTGCCCACGGGTCCGATGACAGCGACCAATTCCCCTGGCTTTGCACTCAGCGAAACGTTTTGGAGAGTGTAAGTGGACGAGGAAGGAATCCACTTTGCAGAAATGTCGTTCACTTGAAGTTCTCCAACAGGTTTCTTAGATGCTTTTTCTTTTTCTATGTTCAGATCCTTGAAAGACGTATATTTTCCACTGAGAGGAAATTTTGTTGGAGGAAGAGCGCGCTGGTTTTCTTGCTCTTCCAGCAGCAGAAAAGCCTGCAATGGAGTAAAGCATCTTTTCGGATTCTCTGAATACGCAAGGGTGAAAAAATGAGGCCACTGGACCTACTTGGATTCTCTTCAGGGAAGCGAGACACTCAGCAATGGCTTGGACAGCATACGGGAAGAAAAGTGTCATGGAAATACGTAGGCTGTTGAAAAGAGCCACTGCCAGAAACACCTGATGAAAAATGACATTATGAAAAAAATAGCTTCCAATAGAGAAACGGTATAGGAGTTCAAGGGTGTGAATGTACCTTTTCCGCGAGAAGGGCTCTATCGTCCGAGATGTAAGCGAGGAAGGTGACAAACAATATAACTTTTGACGAAGTGAAGAACAGCCCCATGTTGATACCTCGAAGGAAAGCCACCCTCCTCACCACGTCTATCTCTTTTCTATAACGATACATGCATTATTTTATACTTGTTCAAAGGCAACAAGAGAGTATGACTGAGGTTACGTAAGCAAAGCGACAGACTTTCTGGCTTGGTTGACCATGTCTGAGAAGGGTTTTTCCCATCCGTACATCTTGACCACTCTCATGGCATCCAGGATCTCACTCATGAGACGAACTCGTTCGTCCGTCCTCTTCGCGATCTGCAGCCTCAGCCTTGAATACGCCTTCCCCATGAGACCTATCAGCTTGACAGTCAAGTTGTGTGCACGGCTGGTTCGAAAAGGAGGGCGACTTTTGCTGCGTGTTTACTGTACCTTGAACGGGGACGAAGAGAATGAGCAATCCGATGCCATAGAGACAGTAATAATCGAATTCCAAGTAGAGGAAGATGGTGGCAATGATGAGCTGAGCAGGTCCCACCCAAACGTAATGCGACAAGACGAGGGCGACGTCGAAGCGGTTCACGTCATTCGAAAGTAGATTCACCATCTGACCGATGGTTGTCTGGCCCAATGCCGTATGACTCAGGCGAAGTGCCTGTCATCATTAAAAGAAAAGATATCACGCATCGAAACTCAACATCGAATGGAACTAAATCCATTCTTAGAATCAAATTCACTTTTCTATAGACGACGGAGCAGCAAGAAATGCGGAGTCTCATGCTGAGAATCTGGGTGCTGAAGAAGGAGGTATGTCGTGCGACGATGTAGAGGACGTTTCCAAAGACGATCCCCGAACAACAGGCCCAACCGATCCAGGACTTTTCTCCGTATTCTCCGTTGAAATACCTCACCAGGTACATGAGGGACATCGCCTGTCCGATCCTGGAATCGAGTTCCCATCAGAACAACATTTCAACGAGGAAATTGGCGGATGTCGACCGGAGATTTGATCGGGGTCTTACTTAATGATTCCTTCGTCGCAGAAAGAAAGGAAGCCTGCGATGAGGTATCGCTTCCAGAAGACTCTGGCAACGGCCCTAAAAAGACTCGGCTTCCTCGTGGATGTCGCCGAGTCACGGCCCGGACCCTGGGCTTTCCCATTATCCGCGGTCCCGTTCACCTTCTTGTATTGGCGCAATCCCACTCTGTCCATCTCCTGCTCCCAAGCTCTGTCCCAGACATTTTTCATCGAGGATCAGGGTGTTCATTTTAGAGACGAGGTGAAAGTGTGAAGAGCGAACCTCTGAAGCTTGTCGCCGAGTCGCTGCGATTCATCCTCGGAACTGATGCCTAATAAATCATCGACGTCCAGACCCAGTCGATACCCTTTCCTCATGAGAGGTAACAGCCACCTGTCAAGCATAACGCCTATTCTCATTGCCAACTATTTCATGATCTTACAAAAAAAATTAGGTCATGACATGGCAATGTAGTTTTATGGTACGCGTGCTCTTTCTCCCCCTCTCTCTCTCCGGTGTGATAGGGAGATTTATCCTTGAGAGAGGCGGATTGCTCATATCAACCTTTGCATCGATTGGAAGTTGACCTTGAAAAAACTGTAGATGTCAGTATTTTGTAGCATCAAAGATAGGGTTCGTTGTCTAACGTTTTCTGTTTGAAAAAATGTCACCTCCAAAAATGAAAGGACTTGTGTCAAGGTTGTAAGAGCGCAATCGCCATGCCAGGTCCTATCAGATTGTGGATCATCAGCGGAACGTCTTACCAACAATGCTATTTTTTAAATGAAGTCGGTCTTTTTTTTTTCTGGGATAGAGAGGAGGGAGTCGAGTGAGGAAATACCGAGTAGAACATAATAAACGCGCCACTCTATGACATTCTGTGACGTATATGAGACAGCAGATAGCAGGAAAAAATTTAATCTAGCGATTACTCCTCTCAATACTCTAAACATCCTACAATTATTGTCCGTTTCAATGCAGCCGTTTTACCAGACGATCGAATGAAGCGACTCGAATTTGTTAATGTGCAAAGAGTTTTGACGGGAAAGTGGTTTTGAGAATTGAGACATTCTCTTGCACAAGAGAATTGTGCAAGAGTTTCCTGGCAAAGGATGGGGGAAATGCACTGTTTAAAATATTAGTTCACAAGCTGAAAGAAACTGGTTCATCTGAGAGGAAGCGAGAGACCAGCAGTTCAAATTGGGCTAAACTGAAGAAAACTGCGCTTGTGTGAAAGAAACCATTTTTCCTCAAAATAATCCAGGGACTAGAAAATCCCGGGTGCATATCGTCAGAGATATCGAGGTGAGTCAGAGATCTGTTCAGTAAATTCTAAAGCGCAAAAGTCTCCAGGAAAAAAAGCCTCCGAAAGAATTATCACTCTTATTCGGTGCAGGGAAATTCCAGGTTAATTGGGACAAAAGTGGTATAAAAAAAAAGTTTTCCAAAAACTCTCTCCAACTTAATTTTTCTGCAGTGTATGGATATTAAACTTAGACTAAATAAAAGGATCTCTTAAACATGCATCGTCTGACATGGGATGGTTTCTCGTTTCTCCTGCAACATTCCATTTTCATCAATTTAATTCTTTTAACATTTAACGTGAAACTCCATCCAGCTTTGTCATGTCAGAAACGCTGGAAAACTCTCCTAGCCGCTTCATTCTTTGTCAGCAAATATCATTCGGCATGGAGAATGGAGACGGTCTTTGCTTTCTTTTTTGAAAATATCGGCGCTCCAGGTCAAGTCAAATCAGAATTGAATGAAAAATAAATCAAAACAAAACAAAAAAAAACTAAAAGTGCTGTCTAAACTGTGTTGTCAGTAACACGAAAAATGACCTTACCTTTATGAACCTTACTTTTCCTTGGGAGAAATTAGAAATATTTGGCTGGATTAAATGCAAGTCTCTATGTCTTTATTTTCTATAAGGTACTGTTGAAGTAGAATTTCTGGACCAAACAATTTCAAGGTTTCATCATATTTGTTTTCATTTTGAGTTTAGTGTGGATGTAGGAGCGGACCAGTAGCGGAATCTTGGCGTAAAAAAAAATTGAAGTTGGTCGTGTAAAGTAACTCGTGTGGTATAACTGCTGGATATAAACGCAGGAAAATTTGTTAAAGTTTTTTTTTCTTCAATTACTTCAATCTATTTCTATAAACTTCGTGTCATCTGCTGTGCTAGAAATGATTTGACAGTGTTGGGCGATAACGAAGTAAAAGTAACACGTTACAGTAACTAATTACTTTTTTCAGTAACATTTTTGGTAACGAGTTACTTTTCAGGGGAGGGTAACGGAGGGTAACGGTAACTAGTTCCTTCTTCATGGGAAAAGTATGTGGCGTTACTGTAACGCGTTCCTTTTCTCGATGACTGATTTTGCTGAAAACAACCAGCGTTTTATGATTACATGCATCCTAACTTATGCAAAATTGAGAGGAAAAGCGGGGACATGAAATTGCCCTGAGAAACCATGGTTTACTTGGTGCAGGTTTCTTGGCCGTACCTGCAAAAATACTCGGAAGTGCAGGAGGTTAGGAACGAATTCGAGAGTTCCAACGATGCAGTGGCGAAAGTTGAACAGGGGGGGGGGAGCAGTCGCTCCCCCGGCGCCCTTTCAGAGATAATAATTTCTCTCCCGATATCGCTCGAGCGGGGGTTGGCTCTGTTGCCCTGCCCCTCCTGACCCTTCAGCCAAAATACGCCGTTGCATCTATGCAAACTTCTGTGTGAAGCGCTCTCTCTGTTTACTGATGGCCAAGGCACTTCCCGTCGCACGAACTTCAGCATCTAAGCTTGAGGAAGCATGTCTAGATGAGCTCCATCGTATCCTGACTCCATACAGACAGTGGCGTAGCGAAGGGGGAGGGGAGGGCTTCAGCCCCCCTAACTCCAGTCTAAATGCATCCGCTACCCTCCCCCCCTTTCCCGGCGAGGAGATGTAAGCCCCCCCACTGTTCCACTTAGCCCCCTCATCGGCGAAATCCTGGCTACGCCACTGTTTACAGACAACCTTGGACCTTAGGTCTTAATGATAGGCGTTGCTTTGGTTCTGATAGTGTATCTGAACGAAACCTTTCGTATGTCTAACGTTGGCGCCTCTCCTCAATTTTGTCCGATCGCCTTTAGGCTCGGCGGGCGGGTATACCCTGGCTCCTCGCCCTATTTCAAGTGCCCCATACCCTCCTAGTAATCCATCATTAGTTAGACTCCGTAAATACTTAGGCCTAGCACTCGCACTTAACAAGTACAGAACCTAACTTAGCATACAGTGTATTTGCAAGTGAATTTGTACCACTTTTAACATGAACGCCTCAGACTCGATTCCCCATATTTCATGGTAGGAAAACCCTCCTCTCCGAATGTGCCATAAAAAATACCATGTATGTTGTAAATAGTTAGTGAAAAGTAATCTCAACCACTGTATGGGATGGATGTGTGCAGTCTATGTCTGGTTAATGGGTACATGGGGTACATGGGGAACATGACTTCGATTTTTTTCTAGTTTTCTACCTGGAACTCATGGGCTGCGCTAGGTCTTCCCATCACCAATGGCAAACTAAAGGGTGCATTCTGACCATCAGCATGACTATCATTCCTGTTAAGTAGCCCATGAGAAGGGAAGAGGCACAGGGAAAAGAGTGAGCATGAGTATTTATTCAGTTCAGTGATCATAATTCAATTTTCATGAAATCAGGGGTAACTTTCGCTTTCAGTGCATGCATCCAGCTTCTGTCGAAGAAGTGGAGAAGCTGTAGAAAGATTCTTTTTTTTTTTCAGGAAAAGTAATTTGAAAAGTAACTCCAACTTGTAACTAGTTATTTTTCACAGGTAACGTGCCCACCCCAGTGATTTGAAAGTGCGACACCTTCTGCCTCGTCCGAAGTATGTCAGGAAGGACAAATAAAAAGGACTTGCGCGGAATCGTCTCCACATTGCGTTTGCGTCATGGAGAAGCACCTGCCCTGCCCTGCCCAGTCCAAGATGGGAGAAGGCCCGAACGGGCCCAGACTCACCAAAAGGATATGTACGAGAGGAACGAGACCCCTTTCCTGGGATCCGGTTTCTTCTGCCGACTGTATTCCTCCATCCTATTTCATCCGCCAGGTCCAAACAGAAACACGGTGCCGAGGAATGGAAGGGAAGAAAGACGAAGGAGAATCGAAGAGGGAGAGAATCTCGCGTGGCTGGCTCGAAACGTGCAGCGGACCTGCGCTGTGTCAAGCTAGGCTCGATACCGTCACTCTCCTTTACCCTCTTCGACCTGTACGAACCGTATAAACTTTGTAGGAATGCGAACCTGTGATCCTGGGCTTCCTTCTCACACCTGATACCATATATCCTCATGCAATGTGTGCCGAGATGGCCTTATCGATGTCATAAATTGACGCTCTTCCGTTGTTTGGCTGAATCCGAGCGCCTACGTCTTGTCCCGTCTGGCAGATACAGCCGATGATTTAAACCCCCCCATTTCCTTTACGAATGCTAGGAATTTTGAACCTGTTGACCCGACACTTCATTGCATGAATCTCGTGCAACTTTGACCCATTTCTTCATGCTTTTTCCGTGTGACTAGATTCCAATGAAGGTGCTTCACGTACCGGTAGCTTTCGTCCATTTACTGGCCCTTCAAGTGGTTCTAAGCACCTCAGTTTTATTTTTTTATGCTATGCAAAATCGGTGGGATTTTCCGAACTGCGTTCGTGATTCACCAGCGTCGTAAATTCAACAGCGTCACATCTCAAAGTCATACAGGACAGCATGAACCGGAAAGACTTTTGGCCGAGGAATCTCATGAATTGCTGTCGCTATCGTAAAACATGAGCAAATAATTGTCCACCGAATAAATATGATCCTGCCTCTGACGATGGTCTGCTCCTTTGAGTTCGCCGAACCACCATGACATTTATACCAGTGGCAGCTCGTGGATGAGGGGGTCAGCACATAGTCTTTATAACGAATAAGAATTAATTGTTCCATTAATGCGAGCGAGACGCACAAAGCGTGTGTTTAGTCCAGTCTTGTTTGATTGGTCGCATTTCTTGCCAGCTTGCCAGCTTGCCAGCTTGAAAAAAAAAAAAACAAACAAACAAACCAAAAGGCTGAGTAAGAAAACGCTCAATATTGACAACTTACATTGAATCGAAATCACGTAGAAGCTGAGCGAAAATCGATACTACCGTTAAACACTTACGAGAGAATAGAGGCATATCCGGTACGAATAGAAAATTAATGGTCCGACGACTTTCTGCAGAATTTCGCGACTTTTGGCAGAACTTTCCAGCGACAGAATTTCATCTAGCTCACTTTGAAAGTATCACGATTACGTATAATATATTTTATGACTTCTATTCTTGGCACCTGAGTCAGAGTGAATTCGGATGCCCGAGCAGCTCTCTATTTACGACGAAAAAAAAAAACTCGGGAACACGCTAGATCTTGCTGGGCACGCTTCCGCTCATGCGCCACGGAAGGGAAGGCTGGTCACCCCACCGATAAGTATACTGCGGTGTTGCGTGCTGCGGGTGATCCTTCTGCGTTGTATGTGGGCTTGAGGAGGTCTCTGGTTCAGACCTTCCCTGCCTGATTCTGGGCTGGAATCGTCTGTCTGAGACCGGATTTCGCTCGCTTTGTGTATTTGAGGATGAATGTAATGGTTCCCACGAATACTTAATAAGCACTAAATGGATATTTCCCTCGTCGGGAAAGGTGCCTACTCTAAAGAATTTTTGAGGAGACCGGAACTCCCATGAAGAAAGAAGGCTTTTCTTTCGTTTCGCAGTTCCTTTTTCTTTTCAAGATGAAATTCGCTCAAGACTGAATACTGAGGACCAGGAGCATAATTTCCCTCTCGTTTCTTCCTGGAGAGAAAATAATGAAAAAGGACGTTTTCATCCCCTCCGAATGGTAAATTCTATACAGTTGCCACTTCGCTTGACTTATAATTTATTCAAAGAAAGACATTCAATTCTTGACTTCTGAGAACAATAATAAGAAAAACACTTTTGGGCAGATGAGAATCTCATTTTGTTGGCCTCAAATTCATTCGGAGAACTTTCGTCGTCATACAATACAGAAAAGGCACTTGAAAAAAGTGAGGTGAAGACGTTGGGAAAGCAGTACGGAAGCAACGCAATGCATCCAAACATCTAATCGACCATTTCCAGTTTGGATGTCGATTCTACAAATTCATCAGATTGAATTCTTCGGGGTCCATGCTACTTTCTTCCCGAAGAGCAAAAGATGGTGCAAAAGACTAGGAATCATGGGGCTTCGTGTCCCTAACAGAAAAAAAAACAAACAAACAAACAAAAGACAGCGTGAGAATCGTCAGGGAACTATGAAGCATTCTGTGCCTGTCCTTCACTCTGAAAAGCGATTCTTACTCAAACCTCAATTTCTCCTCTTGTGACGGCGGTGAGAGGAGTTAGCAGCGACACAAGATCGCATCGATCGCATCGTGGGGTCATCCCGCAGTTACTCGAACAAGCAAAGTTCCCAGAACCGAAGCGAGATGCCGCCTAAATCGCCGAGGCGGCGAGTTGTTACGGCCTTCTTTGCCACTGGAATATGCCACCAGTACGTCTAATGCGGAATACGATCATTCCCACAGGCAACTTCGGAGAAGACTTTGGAATTCCTCACTGTAAAGGGGTAACCCAGCGGGAGACTCCAGGCACTTCGGTCTAGAGGTCGGAGGGAAGGATGATTCAACGAGGGACTAAACTGCATGGGCTATCAGACAAGATTTGGATCTCATTTGAGAATGAGGAGCACTACGCCTGACTATGCAGGCTGTACTTGATTCCTTCAGAGGAGATATATTCACTCGAGGAGAAGGCGACCATGAGAGAGGTCTTATCAGACACATGATTCCAGTCGCGAATAGAACCTGCGGTGTTGTGAAAAACATCACCGGGATTCTAGTCCTGTGAAGGAAGTACTGCCTCACATCGGGGCAAGCAAGGAAAGGTATTTGCTGGAGTACATCCATCCAGACCTAGTGAGACTCGTCGGCATGAATGGTTATCCCATGTTTTATGGAGGTTGCGATATCGCATTCAACGTGGATGAAAATTCTACTGTAAATGTCAAGCCCGTTCAGGGAACATTGATTCATTCAACATCCTTGTGCTATTGGGGTTGAAATAAAGACCAACCATTGCCTTCAAGATTGCTTAAATGGCTGATGAAAATGGCATTTCAGTGTGGAATCAATGTTAGCAACGAAATGCTTTTTCATAATCAACTATGTTGACGTATCGAAACAATTTTACTTTACTGAGATGCTATTTGGGACCGCTTCATGACTTCGAGGAACCTTCACAAGTACTAACAACCCGATACTTATTGTGGTCAATTGTTCAGAAATCGACTACCCTGGGAGGCGTGAAATAAATTTACACTGATCTCACCCTTTGGACTTTTCTTGTCAAGGACATTGTTTACTCAAGAAAAGTCGACAATCTCCAAGATCAGAACAGAATCGTTGCAGCTATCCAGACAGTTACGTCTGACACTCTGCATAAGGTGTGGCAAGAGCTCGAACATCGTTTGGACATCTGCAGTCACAAATGGTGCTCACGTGGAATTGCAATACCAGATAAAAAATAATAATAAATAAAAACTTGAGTTGCTCTTTCTTTTGCTATTTTACTATTATATTATTATTTTAATCATTTAATTTGAGTCTTTTTCTTTTTACAGATATTAATTTTAAAACGTTTCCATACTTTTTTTTAACACTGTATAGCATCGACTTGCGTGAGCAGCATTTGAAGTACTACTTACTACATTCAGTGCTTGGCCAGTGATAGGGGGTGAAAAATACTTCGACACTGCAAGGCATGACCATCGCAACCCCATTTCTTGAAAACACTCCAAGTTCTACGTTCTGCTGCGTGCATTAGTAGCGTTTTTCGGAATTGTATTTCCTACTCGATCCATGCTTCATACGAGGGAAGTACTTATTAGTCTTATCAGAACTAGATGAGTACAAGACAAGAGTTTCTCTTCAACTCCAACTTCAACTGGCAAGTTGGTTCTGCAGTTTTTGCTTCGAGCAAAAACTGCAGATATCTTTTTTCAGATAGATACTATTCAGTATTATCAGCATTACATGAGTACCTAAAACCTCAAAGGGGTTTTTACCCTGCATCAAGGTGAAGTCCATAAGTCCATCAATACCTCACTTGTCGCAATCGGTTTATCTGTTTCTGTTGTGTTGTCGGTGTCCAATCAGATCCCCCACCACGTACTTTTCGAGATTTGAAAGTACAAGATTGAACATCAAAATTGGCCTACCTAGAGTTCCGATGAGAGCAGAAAGTGAGCAAAATCTTGTTTTTGCGCTAAAGAACGTTCGTTGAGAAGATGGGAATTTGTATGACAAGGGGTCATATTGCTCCATGATCCTTAATATAATGTACTATTGGGCATTTTATGCGATGGCAATTCCGCAAAAAACGATTACGTGGGTAGGAATATAACTTGCGATGGCGAAGCTGTCTGACTCTGAATCATGGTAGGGAAATAAAGCTGGCATGAACATGGATAAACATTTATTCAAGATCATCAGGATGGTAACATGGTAGTAGGAAAGCATGTACAACTCAAAATAATTTCAAGAGCGCGAGAGAAGATGAACAATGGCGTCAATCAGCTTCCCATGGGTCAGGTGATTCTTGAGATCCAGATTGGGTTGCTGAATTTTTGAAGACAGAACTTCATCCAGTTCCAAGCGAGTTTTCTGGAGTAGCATCACCACCTTTAGAAAGAGAACATGAAGAGTGAAGCAGTGAATGAATGGATCCATTGAAAGAAGCAAAAATATCAGCCAGGACAGAACTTCCTTGATAAGATGGTTCTGTCTTGCTGGTGGGATATGCTCAAGGACGATTTGACAAGAAAGTTTAGCTCTACCAGAAATATGCAAAAAATAATGAAATTTCGATTACAAAAATTTATCATTGAGTGAATGTCTTTCTCACTCCATAACCATTGTCTGTGGCTTGTTGTGTTTGTGTGCTACCATTGGGAATGATGACAAAAGGTCAAACTTCATCATCTTAAAGATTAATCAGATTTTTCCCCATTCCCCTGGAGATTCAAGCAGTCACTTTACATGGATCCTGCTTGAAGGTTGCACCTGAGAACTAGGTTTGCACTATCATACTGGGACACTACTCCCATTCCCAGTTGACTGTACTGTACAGTAGAGTCACAAATGTATCATCATGACCAGTTATTGCAAACCTATAGAAGTAGTATACTGCCAGGCATATGCACCTAAACTGACTTTTTCAGCTATTGCTGTTTCTTTATTTGTCAATGAAGGGCAATTACATTTACACCACAGCCTAGTATGCCCAGGGCAAAAACAAAAAGTATTCAAATTCCAAAATTGACAGTGTGAAATAAGGGACAATGGAAGTTTTTGATAAATCATTAAGAGATCTGGATGGAGGGTTCATTGGTGTGACTATACCAAAAGAGACTAAATCCTAAAAGAAAAATTAGCTTTGAAAATTTTAAATATTCCTGGGGTTTAGAAAAAAGACAGAAAGCCATAAGAAAGACCATCTGAATTGACAAAAGCTGAAAAAAAGCCACCAGCGATGATAAACATGAAAGACTAGTTGAAAACTTAAACATAGTTTAAAGATCATGCTTAAGTAAATAAAAAACTTAATCATATACATTTGTATGCATTATTCTAACAATTGCCACTTGGTACTTGGCATTTTAAAAATCAAGTTTGCATTTTTGACATCACAATTCATGTTCATTATGCTCAATTTATTTTGTCCCTATGAAGAAAAGCAATAGAATTAAGCATTTAGACAAATAAGATTGTGTGTGACAAAACAAGAGGGTGAAATGGAAACTTCACCTCAAGAGACTGGGAGATGAAAGCAATCCATCCATCATCAATAGCAACAGTGAATTTCCCTTTGTGAAGTCCAACATTAAGTGCACTGCCTCCAAAGAGCAGCAATGGATACACAGGAACCAAAGAGCACTCCCGGATGTACACTCGTGATGTCTTCAACTTCTCGTGATACACAATGTATGGGTATGGAAATTCTCCTACATTAGCCACCACTGAACTGGGGTGGATACTCACCTGCATACATATTATCAGGTAAAGCATGGGATATTAAAAGAAATAATTTAGGAAAATAAGAAACAAAGAATGACATACATATCCATCAGATTCAGTGAGGAATCTATTATCTTTGGCATCTCGAGGCAGGGCAACCGAACCAGTGGGAGTTTGTTTATAGGTCACTTCTGGTGTAAGAATCTGCACCACATTGGGATAGAGGGCACCACACAGGACTGACACCACCAGACGCACATTTTCCCCATTCTCATTTATCTGAAGAGATCAATGAGGAGATTTAGGCTGGGATTGCAAAAAACATTCATAGCTGAGCAACTGCTGTACCCACTGCTGGTCCAGTGGCAGTCAGAACTGCATCTCCTCGACCTCTGGCCATCTTATCCAGCTGTCTGGTTGTCATATCACCTGGGATGAATCCTATGCTGCACAGCAGCTCCACAAATTGATGTTTCAGAGAAGATAACATTTCTAGAGTTCTGGAGGACATGAAGTTCTCATTTGCAAACCTTGAACCAGCATATGAACTGTGAGAACAGGCTCTCTGCCATGCCTGCACAAAAGTAGAACTTTTCAAGCTCATTTTGCAATGTTTCACAGTTATCAGACACAAAGATAAAGCAAGAAGCTAACATTGTAAGCATTCAGAGAAGTGAGTTGATCACTGAGACCAACAGCAAAACTCATCCTGGTCTTATCAGCTGCTGCACGCTGCTCGAATGGAGTCACAAAAGGGCTTCTGTAACTGAGGCATGCAGCAATAGTCAGGGCAGCATCAAGGCATCTGAAGATGCTCCCATAGATGATCAACTTTCCTATCCTGAAAGAGGACAAAGACAAAATAGAACATAGCAATGAGTTTCTTATGGGAAAAATCAGAAAGAGAAACAAGTTCCATTAAAAAATGTATATATTTATTTCATTGTCATATGAATAGGTGTCTATTATCCAACTTACCTGACATCCACAGGTAAGGCAGCCAGGTGATACCCCAAAGGTGTCAAATTCCCTTGGGCATCTAGAGCACCAACTTCATGTAGTCGTTTCATCGCTCCCTCTATGCTTTCCTTGGATGGTGGCTCCAACAAATGCCCTAAATGTAATTCTCAGCAGTTCAATCATTGCCCTTCAGTGATCAGTAGGGCTAATTAGTTTGCCACAATATGATAGACATGTGATCCCACCAAGGACACAAACTGGACTTTGGTCATCATTGAAGAGTTCTCTCTGCAACTTGACACGAAGAATGGATCTCTCAAGTGGGATTCTAAGGACTTCAGGCATTGGCCTGACATGGAGATGGTATGAATATCGATGAGAGGTGAAGAGATAGACGCACACTCCAGGTTTCACTCTACCAGCTCGACCCATTCTCTGCTTGGCATTTGCAATGCTCTCCCATACTACATCTAAGCTCTCCATGTGCTTGCTTGGGTCATATCTAACACAGGAGAAGTACAAATTGACAATCAATTTCATTGATGACAGTGAGATGAAAGAAGTGTCTTCCTCACCGAATCTCTCTCATTTTCCCACTGTCAACCACAAAAGTACAGTCATCAATGGTGATTGAAGTCTCAGCAATGTTGGTTGAGAGGACAACTTTACGCACACCACTCGGTGCTGGCCTGCCTCAAAATCAACAGTCATTTATATGAGGTACAACAGATAAACAGAAGGAAAAGAATTGAAGATGAAATACGAAGGACAGACTTGAACACAGCCTGCTGTTCTTCACTAGTCAGTGATGAGTGGAGTGGAATAAGCAGAAACTTTTTAGCTTTCTGTCCAAACATATGATGAGCACTCAGCTGATCGTATAGACTTCGTATTTCAGAGATTCCAGGGAGAAACACCTTTGAATAGAGAGTTGATTTATATCAACGATGGTTTTCTGAATCACAGATATCTTTCAGAAGATAAAATCAGCAAGTGGACAAATTATACTCACAAGCAAAGAGCCTTCCTTTGGGTGATTATGTTCCCCAAAAGCCAGCCATTCTAAGACACTCACAATGAGATCACAGTTGACTCTCTCATTATCCATGTAGTACAATGTTTCATATTCAAATGTATCACAGTCTGCATGGATAAACAAAAAAGCCACCAATTAATATCATAATTTCAATATTGGAGTGCATGGGGATCATTTCTGCACTTACTTGAATAGCGTATTTTCAGTTCTTCAAGGCAAAGAACTTCATCAGGGAGGGAATCAGGTGGACGACAGTTATGTCTCATATGAGCAGAACGTTTTGTTGCCACCTCTGGAGGCTTTCTTGAGTATGGTCCTCTTGCTTGCAATCGGTAACCACACAGTGACAGAATGTCATCTAAGAAGTATCTCTCCACAGGAAAAGTACGACCTGTAGATAAACTGTTGATATCAATCCTACCTTTCATCCCTAAATCCTCAAAATTGGCAAGGCAAAATTTTGACAACCTGGGACTTCAATGATGGGTGCACCCCCAAAATAGGAGGAAAAAAGCTCAGCTTCCAGAGTGGCACTCATCAAGATCACTTTGAGATCTTGTCTCTTTGGCAACACTTCTCTTGCCAGCATCATGAGGAAATCACTGCATCAAAAGTGAAAAGTATAGATTCATATAGACTTTCAGGCTGCAAAGGTCCTCATATGCTTTAGTTTCATCTCACCATTTTACTACTCTAACAACTCCATGGATTAAAAGAAAAGATCAAAAGGTTTCTTGGACCAAGAACAGAAAAATGGATATGAAGTATGAATGAGAAATGCCCAATTAATAAATTTATTCACAAAATGGCAACCTAAAAAGGGAATTTGTTATCCACAGGGATGACCAGGAAAAAAACAGATAAATACAAAGTTTCAATGGATTTCAAATGGATTGGAGCATTGGAAAGGACATGGTTGATGAATTCAATCTCTAGTGATCTTCCATATCATAAAGTCTTTTGCTGAAGCAAATTTGCACTTAAGAACCCCTCTCACTCACTCTTCTTTTTCTCAAGGCTGTCTCCTGTGGAACTTGCTTAGTAGTTTTTGAATGAAAAAATGCATTTATGAAGAGAAATTCAACATTCAACATTCAACAATGCAGTATCCAGGGAAATGAGAGTTAGGACAATAAAAAGGCCTGAATTATCTTACTCTAATGGCTCAAGTGGAGGAAGCGAGGCAGCTTGAATCAATTCTAAGTAGAGAACAATCTCTTGCTCAGTATCTCACTGAGCTGGACCAGAGATATGACAGCTTGGAGCTAGAGCTTTTCTTGGTGAATGAAGGAATATGCAAGTGGGAAGCTTTGGATGAGATTCTTGAAGGACCTTCCAATAACAAAGCACCCGAGACTTACCTCAAGTAAGATTCCATTTTGGTACCAGAATTGTTCCTTGCTATAGTATGTTGTGGGTATGTACCAAACCAATAACATATTTTAGGCACCTATTAGAAGCAGGTGACTTGTGTCAGGAGGAAACCCTGGATGTTTGTCAGACTGAGTTAGAAACAGCAATAATACACCTGCACCAGGTCAGACAGCAGTACCTATACCTTCTCCGTCTCTTCCGAGCCAAGACAGCAGAGACAGCCCAGCTCCATTCTTCAAAGAGAGGTTCTGAGGACCCCAATGGTGGGGCAGCTCAGGGACGCAGCACATCCAATGAAACCTTCTTCATGCAACATGCAAAGCATACTCCAGTCTCAAAGTCTCCTCCTACACAACCAACTATTCAATTTCCTCAAAGTCACAGCTGCACTGAGAGCTCCACCAGCACAGCTACACTCACTGAGCCTTCTTTTCAGACCTATACAATTGACTCTACAAAAGTACATGGAAGACCTGCATCTGAATCACAGGACAAGAAGAAACTAAAATTCTTAATTCTCCCTCCAGCTGAAAGGATTAATGGAATCATTTCCTCAGATCAGAGTCAGGAGAAAAACATTATCAAACTTCGACAGGATCAAGATCTCCAATTGAGACAGCATCAAGAAACAAGCAAGCTGAAGATAAGCATAAGCAGAACAAGAAAGAAGAGAACTTCCAAGAGTAGATCTGGAAACAAGAGTTCTGAAGAAAAAATTGCTTCATCCCATCCTGTCAGGAAATCTGGTGGCACCAACACTCAAATAGTTTATTCATACAGAGGTGCTGGATTGTGGCAAAGTGTATGGGAGATCCTTTGGAATGCTATCACAAGATATTTGACAGAAACTGCTCCAGAATCAGGGCAAATCTGAGGCTGATCTAAACAAGGCTGACTTCTCAATAAAGAAAACAACAGAAAATTAAACTTGGAGGGTAAAATACAACAGAATTTCTGAACGAAAATTTTCATACCTGTCTTCACTTCTCTCATGAACTTCATCAATGATGAGATGAGTGACAGGATAGAAGTCTGGTTTGGCTTCCAACCTTCTTAAAAGCACTCCTGTGGTACAGTAGACAAGTCGGGTCCATCGAGATGTACAGCTTTGCAGCCTTATCTGGACAGGAATCAATAGATAAGGTATGATTCTTGCAATTCTGGAACCATTAGCTATGACTGGTGCGCCTAATCAGAGGCAATGCCAGTTGACCTGACTTCATAAACCTGACCTGATAACCAACAACATTTCCCACTTTCTCAACTCTTTCTTGGGCAACTCTTTCAGCTAATCCAACAGCAGATATCCTTCTTGGTTGAGTGACAGCAACGTAGCAACAAGAACCTGACTGTGATGACAGCCAATCATCAAGGATGAACTGAGGCACTTGAGTACTTTTTCCACAACCAGTCATCCCACTGATCACAAGGACCTGGATGAATACAAATCAGGAGTAGAATTATTATTTAGGTGCAATTTTTTCTTGGCGATGATTAATTTTGAGATGGCCTCTAGGTACCTGATGTTTCTTTAGAGCAAGAAGGATTTCTGATCGAGCATTCCATACTGGTAAGGCCTTCCTTTGTACCAGGAGTTCTTGATAACTACAATCAGAGTTTTTTGAAGCATATCTACTCTTCAGTGTGGCATTGTCCTTAAAGCTCTGTTCCTCCTCCATCCCAACAACAGTTGAGGTCATCTTGATTGGTTTTTTCTCTTTAGATCTGTCACATGCAACTTCTCTGACTTCACTCTGTATTCCCTCCTCATCAGAACATTGAGAGTCATCTGGGGGAAGGGTGAGGTCCCTGAAAAACCTCTTCATTGACAACCAGTCCATCAAATCATGCTCAAGAAGTCCCACAAGGGAGAAAACCACTGGAGAATTGTCGCTGCCACACAACTGAGCTGATTTCAACAGGAGAAAGGCTGTGGTCCTCAAGAGGAGGTCACCTGGATAGTCCTCTGTTTGGGAAATCACAACCAAAGGAGGTTCACTTGGATAAGCACAATGGTCTGGAAAACGAATCTCAAGCAAGAATTTCCTTCTAGGCTTCTCCTGAGCCAATGTAACAGGATCATATGGCAGCAAGTGCTTATATCTACATTGATCACCATATCTGCACCGTCCTTGTTGATAGAATTTACAAATTCCAGCTGGAATTCCCTGTGGATGCAGTTTCCCTTGTGTCATTTGAGATGACTCCTTAGATCCTGTGAAAGAAGTACTTCATATGAAGAATAAAATCCTCCAATATGATTTTCAGAGACTTTCAACATTATCACTGAACCTGTTGCAGGCTCAGCATGAGCCAAATCCCAGAGAGAATCTAGAGACAAGGCAAGTTCCCAGATACGATCAGGGAGTCTCTCTTTGAAGTCATCCCCATAAATTGACTCAAGAGCCATTTTCTCATCATTCTTCAATTGCCTGGCTTCTTCTGCTGACAAACGAAATCTGCTGTCTATAATAAAAGGAAATTTCACAACCACATGAATTGATCATTGGTTTTGCATTTTTTAAATAGAGATTCTAAACTGGCATCCTACCTACAAAATCTTCTGAACCTTGGGAGACATCTTTTGCAAGAACATGAAGGAGGTACTCTAAGGCTTTCCCCATATCACCTTGTGTTTCTTCTAGAGCTTTTAAACACCATCCAATGTGGAATCCATATCTTGAGAGGGAACCAGAATATTAGGAGGTTCAAATGAAGGAAAGGAATCTATGTAAAAACATTGGTAACCTTTTCATGTGCTCAATGGCTTGTTGATACTCCACTGGAATAGCTTGGTCCTTGCCTTTGTGTAACACAGTCTCATGAACTCGCAATTTCCTATCTTTCATCCAGAATCGTCTATGGAGAGCCAGGTCACTCACTACACCTGATATGGCACTATTTTCCATTTGTTTTTGTGGCTATATAGTTCAAAGAAATATACATCACTGCTTTCCATATTTTCTACATATCCCACAACAGCCAAGAAGATAGAGGATCTTATGTAAGCAGGTGGAAAGGGACACAAACTGCCCAATGCAGATCACACAAACTTTAAAATAGTCACTTAATTCAGGATAATTCAGATTTGGCCAGAGCATGCAATCAAAATCCCTTACATCTCTTTCAATGCATTCCAGGGCATTCTGCAGGAGTGTCTGAATGTCAGGTTGCATATGCAGTTCTTGCATTTCTATTTTCCTCCTAGACTTCTTCTCAACTTCAAAAGTGGGCTGGCTTCCTCCCCTGGGAATAATGCCACATGAATGAGCATTTTGTACAACTTTCTTCCCAAGAGGCTAGATGAAAGAATGACTCTCACCTAGGTTGACAAAGCACAAAGTCTTCAGAAAGGTCAGATCTCATGGCACCCTTCCGTGATAAACCGTCTCCAGGTGCTGAACCAGAACCTCTCCCCCTTCCCCTCCCTCTTTGCCTATTCTTCCCAGCTCCTCTCCGTTTCACGGTCATCCCCTCCCGTGATGCCATAGCCCGTCGTTTTCCCAAGCAAGAACTCATGCACCAGGTACTTTAGAACAACCTCATTGTCATCACTATTGAAATGTATTCCACATCAGTGAAATTCCAACATATTTAAGCTACTAAATTTTTCTGCAAAGCTATTTGTCTCAAAAATGTGTTTGCCTGAAGATATAATTTGGAACACAATCCTGTGTCAGGCCATATATTACATATACTGCTGCTCCATAAATAAAACCAAGCCAATGATTAAGGTGTTTCTAGAGAAAATCAAGCTGCTATTTCAAGCAGAAAAGTATGCAATGTTTTTGCTTCTGACTGTGCCTTTAAATAATTTTTAATTGGGGGAAAATGGATGCTGATGATGATGTAATGTTGCTCATCATATGCTCTGATTATTGCAAAATTCAATTTCTTCTTTATTTAAACTATTTGAGGTGTCAATTTTTTTAAATGTCAAACTCCAAAATGTTGTCCTTTGTACCATTTGTTCCTGTGTGTTCTACATGTTAAGCCATAGATTGCTAAATAAAAAAAATATAAATAGTAAAATTTTAAAATGTGGTAAAATGCCTACTGTCATAATTTACAATGACTTTTGTTCATGTTTGATCAGTCATGCTGTAAGTCGGCAAAAAAACACATTGCATTCATTTGACTGATATTTCTATGCTTCTTTACTGCTGATCACCTTCAAGAGAACATTTTTAAAACATTGTGGAAGCTACAGTACCTGACCTAGAATATGAATGGAAACTTTACAGCTATTGGCACTTGCTAAATATGTTTCTTCTTTAAGAGATGCAGAGCCACCACTTCACAAAATCAAAAAATTCTTGCTGCAAGGCAGTTGTGATTTCTGGAATTCTGAGGATGGTGATGATGCGATACTGATGAGAACTTCAATCCTCTCCCCAAAGGAGAAATACATATAGCCAAGCAGGTATCTGCTTCTGTGGAAGGTGCAACACAGTTCTGGCTGGACATTCCATAGGGGTCTTGGAATAAACCATAAAAGAAAGGCACTGTCAATCAAGGTAAGGAAGAGGGGGGTTCAGGAAGTTTGCTCTCTCCCCTCCACCTACAGGGTTACTCTTACATCATATGATGGAGTGGAAATAGGAAACAGAACAAAATACATAGCAAATAGTAATCAACTCTGATTGAAACCATTGCTTCAGCTTGTCTATCTTCTCCCTACTCTTCATGATGGCATGCCACAACACATTGAGGATTGAGCCATTTACTTACCAAGTAGAATCCAATCCAGCTCATCCCTTTCTTCCAAAAATTTGCTGAGTTGTAGTCATGAAATCAATGGATGGATGATTTTTGCTTTTTTTTTTTAACAACTAAAGTTTTTGGCTTCAGTGTTTCTTGGTGATGTGGCTCACTAGCTTCCATATTCTCTCATGTAAACAGGAATATGGTAGTGGGCAATATTCTGATAAGTTTTTCACTTAAAGAATATTAATTTGTGATATATACTTCCAATAGCCTATGAAACCAGAACTGCATAAGTTTCAGCCCTCCCACAGAATGAAAGTTCATAGTTGATATTTTAAGTGTGTTACCACTCCATGTGAAATGTATCTCATTCTTGCTTAGTCAGTGTTGAATAAATGTATTTGATGTTTTAGTGGCACACTCTGGTGGAGCCCAAAGGAGCAAATTAGGGCGAATCACAAGTACAAAGATCCCCCAAAATTCAGATCTGGTTGTACCACTGTTTTATTCCTAATCAATTACATAAAATCTATTATGCTTCCCATGGGTACTTTCATAAAGTGATGGAAGAGCTATAAATGGGTTCTGGAGCCTAATATAACAACCCTGTATCATATCATGTGAATTCAAACAACATACCAGTTTTCATGTAAAAATACCCTTCACTGAATATGCTTGTAACCAGTAACATATGGTATGGCTTTAAGACAACAAGCACATGCTTCTGGTATTCAAACTGTAAATATCAAAAGTCAAGAAGTGCTTAGGATATAAAAAAAAAAAAAAAGGTTATTTATGAGTACAAATCCTTTTTATTAAATTGCAATATTTGGTTAATGCTCCAGTTTCCACCTTAGGAGAAGTCCATTTCTCATGCACATTTGCCTTTTATTCAGTCTCTGAATCAGATATGACAAATGAGGTTGATATTATTTCAGAGAGAAATTATGTCAATGTGAACCAATAAATAGACAACAAAAATGTGAAGAATCATCTCATCCTTTAATTCCTTTGCATTATTCACAGAAGAAGCCTAAACAATCATTTCCAGTTCTCGAGCATATTCAATAGCAACTTGTGCCAAATCCAGAGATGGCAAGATTTCCATATCTGGCCTTTTCTTTTCACCAGCAGTGAACTTCAGGACATTGCCTTTTACCTGCCACCCCCTCTTATTTGCATAATCAGATAATCCTTGTGGCTGAGAGAAGTAAAGCATACGACAGGCTTCTTGGAGAGAAAGACTCTCATATGCTTTCTCCACACAGCCTGCAATCTCATCCCGAATAGTATCAAGGAGAATGTCAATGAAGAAAGTGTAGGACTGGGCTGGGACATTCCCTTTTGCCAGGAAGATTTTGTTGTAGCTACCTTCCATGAGATATTGCTCCAAGGACAGGGGATGTCTGATGTAGATGTTAGTCTGCAGCTCTTTGATAGGCAGGAGTTCAACTTCAGTGTGGAATTCAGCAACTCTATTTTGAGCCAGGAGGCACAGAAGATTGAGGCCCAACAGCTGAAACTTGTAGGAGCTCTCCTCAAGTTTATCTTTATAGTCCAGATAGTAGCACTTCAGTTGAGCCATGTATCTTTCAAAAGAAGGGATGTCCTTCACAGCCACACTCCACTGGGCTCCAATTTCCAAGATATCTCTGGCAATAATGAGTTCCTGCTTAGATGCACCATCATGAGTGGGAAGGTACTGAAGATGTGTCAGGGCCACTTTCAATTTTGAAAGCAGCTCTCCACATTTGTCTAGATTGGGTGGTTTTCTTGTCCAGTGATCTGTCAGTTGCTGGTAAATGGAAACAACTTCATTCAGTGGTGCCATTATGAGCAACTCTTTGCAGGATTCTTATCTGAAAAGAAGAGAGCATGTGGGTGATTGATTGCCGTCCAGAAAAAGAAATAGCATTTGATCTACATTAGTCTTTGCATTCTAGTTTGACATGATTTCAATATGATTTGTATCAGTACCAAAATAAAATCTATAAATGAGCTAGGCCTAATGTCTAAGTAGGCCTGGAGACATCGAATTGACTTGGTAAAAGTCCATGAAGGATATGCCTTCTACCACATCCTGTATGAGGGAGTGGGCTTAACTAGATCATGCCAGGTTCTTACAGGGAGATGAAATGTAATATGCCTAACCACAACCTCATGAGAACAAGAAAATAATTGCTGATTTAACGCAGGACATGTCAGAAAGATGATGACAGCAGTGAAGTATTAACGTTCTTGTATTAAAAAATGTCATCTTGACTCTTCAAACCTAAGAGGGACATTGAATTTGCATACTCAATTGGCTACTGGCGATTCTTACGGGAAACTTCTGAAAAACTTATGAAAAAGTCATCCCAGAGAAAAATGTCACTGCAATGACCTAGGCCTATTGTAGATGCTACTTTTCATTCCCCTTGAACTAAAACCGGATGAATGAACTTAGGTTACATCCCGGAAGGACTAATAAAAAATAGAACACATCTTATTATTCACCGGAGTGGAGTAGACTTGAGAATTTGTCTATTAGTCCCCCTGTGCCTGTCCGATTCTCTCTCACAGACAAAACTGTCCAGTAACAACTTGCTAGCGCATCGAGGCAGCCATCTTGGACCGTAGACACCGAGATACCAGATTTCAGCGAGATAAAAAACCGCAAGATTTGTTCCGCCAAGTCGAAAAGGCGCTGTTTCTCACCAGCCAAGTTAGAGCAACTTACAGAAACGCGTGACCAGGAATTTTCTTGAAATCTTCACATCTCTTATTGGGATCTGAGATTGTCTTTCCCGAGAACCTGTCGACTGGATATATAGATTAAATTTTCTATTAGTTGCATCCATCCAGCTGTGGCGGAAACAGAAAATACTTATTTCCACTTCAGCCACTGATTTAGCGAAAAGCAGTTATCATTGAGACAGCAAATATCGCTCAGTTGGATGACATGTGGCGCTAGGGTTGCCACCTTTGAATTTAACAAAATATGGACTAATATTCGAAATATACAGAGCATGTGAGGGGAACTATTGCGCTAGGGGATTGAACACGTCACTCCCTGGAAAGTGAAAATACTAATACTATGCTAAGTGCAGAGGAGCGGAGCCTCTGCAGGCCTCGCAGATGGTATCACGCTGGTATCGACGTTTCTCTCAAACAAAATAAAGAGATCGTACTAAAAATAATCAGTCAATATCGAAAGGAAAAGAATGGGACGCAGGGGACTGTCAGCCCGGGGCTGAAGAGCTCGTGAAAACTTGCTCCAACAATGAATTGGAACCTTGCACTACGTGTTATGGGCTTTAAATAAAACCTTTCTCAGAAAAACAAGTGTCTTTCAAGTCAAACATCGCATTTTCTCAATTAACTAGTGTTATGCTTCAAAATCTGACTCCTTATTAAAGAAAGCAGAATATTGGTATCTATATTGATTGACGCAGGATGAAGATGGATGTAAATCATAACTTAAGTTTAGCGATTCGGTTTTCCAAATCCCAGGTGACGTCATCAGCACTTACATATATGTCGTTTATGCCATTGGCTCTGGATTCTTGGAAACTTTTAAATGCCGAAAGGAATGTGAGAAGAGATTGTATCTCGAGTCCTTTCCTGATTATGACACCTAAGAATTGATGATTTAGCGCAAACCCATCTCATTTATCTCAGATGGGGAAAACGTGAGGTGCAATTGGGAGCCGCTTCCCAAGGAGTGGATGGCATTCCATCCTTTCAATGCCTAATTTCTCTGAAGGCGATTCTTCTACTCGATCCCGAAGACCTTATTCTTTGCTTTTGGGGTGTGATCCCGCTCGCTTCTCATTCTGTTTGATATCGAAAGGTCTTTGTCTTAGTATTAATAGGATTCCGAACAACTCCCTGTCTCTTAAACCCATCAACATTGTTCTTTGTGAATATTAATGAAAGATCGTGTTTCCCAGACTCGGGGTAAGTTGTTGACTGGGAGATCCTGCTTTCTCTGGTAACTGGCGAATCTGGAGAATTTTTCAACATATAATATTGTACAGTACTAGCATGAGTCGAAAACAAAGGCATTCGGGGACGCGTTAAGGGGGAAAGGGGGTTCAAGTCTTCCCTTTCTATCCCCCCCCCTAATTGTGACTGTCCCTCCCTTGGACCCTATATGACAATATTTTTTTACAAAGCCATTAGTGCCTTCTATCGGACATTCACTGCCATCTGGAGGGCATGAAAAATTAACCGGTTCGGCCCATGAACTTCTGTCGAAAATCAGCGCAGTCCGACAGTCCTTTCAAAAGTTACGATCAAAGTTGAGTGGTTTCTTTATAACACCCTATTGCTATTACTCTATTACCCTACTATTCTAGTAGCAGGCTCTCCAACGCAGTCGATTCCATGTCGCTCACTTTCGAGCATCCTGAAAGCTAGTAGTGTTAGCTTCATGGTCTAGATGTCGTGCACGGCTCATTCCAGACAGGTTGATACGAAACGCACCCACGTACACACAAATTGCAGTCACAGAAATACGTTCAAGAGATGGAGGCCATTACGGGTCGATTTTGGTTGTCGATTGTCGATTTAAGGTCTATTGTAGTTCCAATTTCGGCCCACTATCGATCTTCTTACTTGAAATAATGGGAGGAGGCGTCATTGGTTGCATCGAAAATCATATTATTGGTTCCCTCCATGCTTTATTGCTGGCCAAGAAAGGCCGCAACTCAGTAGCTAAGAGCACAAATAACATGGTGACAAAAGGTCTTATAAGTCTGTCTTAAAATATCTTAGCATCCTGCACCTACCATGCCATCGATATATTCTTACAACTGCACAGATATATCACCAACAAAGTCTAAGATAGCACCTACAGTATAGGCAACCTTTACGGTTTTCAGATGAAAACAAAAGAAGATAAATATTGACAATATGGGCACAGATGTACATTATTTCTCATGCCTGAAAATCTGAGTAAATTTACGTTTCACATAGAACCTATTCACCGACCAAAGCGTCCATGGAAGTGTATTTGGTTACTTTGCATTTAAAAGCACTGAGCACCTGCCTGCCAAGCATGAACTTGATTGGTGAATGGGACTAATATGGTTCTGTAGCGTGCAGACTTTTTTGTCCTTGCATAACAAGTAGGGCTGCCAACTTCAATCGATAAATCGACCGGCTAATGGATTAAAGTTTTAATCTCGAATTGAAAATTAATCGAAATAACGAATAGTAATATGCCTTGAAATATTACCACGTATGCCTATCTTTCGCTTCCAATTTCGCTGCGTAATACATCGTTTTACGAAGAAGGCTTTTTTTTTTACTGGAATCACATGAAATAATAGTTTCTAACAGATGGTCGTCCTTAAGTTGCTCACGCAGAAAAAAGTGGGCTTTTTTCCAAAAAGGGAAGCACAAGAACAAAGGCAAATGCTCCCTTACAATGGAGGAGGGAGGACTCGATGGCTTTTTGCCCCTTCTCGTCAATACTGAGCATTTGCTGCTGTCCTGCACAGTCGCAGTACATACATGTGATCGGGGAAACTTGAATGGACGTTGGACACAATAGCCAGAGGGGGGAAAATCCACATTGTCAGCTTTCCTTCTGTATCCAGACACCACAAAGCGTGTAGAAACACATAGGTCTTGAGTGCAGGAAGGGAGATCGGGGTTGTATTCTTCCCTCCGGAACTGCACTTTTCGTTCTCAGCAAGGGTCTGGGCATTCTTTTCCCCTGTTGTCCTTCTCTGGGTGACATGCGCCGGATCCGTTTAAGCTGAACTAATCTGATTTCACAATGGGAATCAGTTTAACAGAGATAAACTTATTCCCATAGACGCCCATTAAGAAAACGACTCAGCTTAAAAATTAAACGGACCTGGTGCATTTCACCCTCTGTCTCATCCGTCTACCTTAAGTCGAGACGCTTCAAGGTCAATCAGGTTAACTTGAGTCAGATTAACCTCTTTGTAATAATGGCTTAACTCGTGTGAGCATGGGCATGTCGCAGTGTCCACTCGCCAACCCAGGTCAACGAGGATCGTTTCGATTCGGCGCAGGTTTAAGCCATACACTAAAGCCGAGCGGATCTCTTCGTATCGTCTCACACAGGCCCGTCCTTTCTGGTCGGCGGCTTTTACATCCACATCTATGAGAAAATTTCCCGACAAGTCGGAGAAATACCGCTAGAGTGCACTCCGAACTGATCTGCTCTAGTGTACGCGGTCCCGTTGATAATAGTGATATCATTCGGAAATAACGCTTCGCTCCGATTCGCGTTGGTGGCACAGATATGGAGATTACTGGCACAAAATGCAGATATAGGATTATGATGAGTTATCAAGGTCAAGTTCTTCTCAAAACACGAAAGGATAAAAAATAGAAAAGGAGGAAGGTCATGGAAAGAGTGGCGACACGAGATTGAAGGTTTCAACTTTCCTTCCCCTTCCTTCACAGGAATGCACGGCGTACAAATGTATTTTTATCCTCTTTTGCCCTAACGTCAGGATGGGATAGAAGGTAAACAAGCACCCTTGTCCCCATCATTTTCAAAGGTTCATTTAAACTTCGCGTTCGGTCACAGTCCAATTGAAAGTTCAACTGTAGTCAGTCGCTTCATTCTCCCGGTCTTATTGTAATTTCAATCGACTGAGACGACTGGACCGAGCCCGAGACTGGGATTTTGAAATCCCCGTTCCAGTCGTGATTCCTCAGCGTTCGACAGGTGGTCCGTTCCTGCTTGTTCGCACCTTTGATCATCGAGACTTTGCGAACTGTCTGAAATGAGGAACGCAAACATCGAAACGTATTCTCTCTATCCAACGTGCCCCCTTGCAACCTGTGCTCGAGGCAACGGCAGCG